TTGGTCTGAAAGATCACACTGTGTGAAGTGAGGAGATCATTTCCATCCCTTTCTTATACCAATGTGACAATGAAGTGAGGTGCCTCGTTAGTCCGCTTGTCATTGGAGGGTGACGTATCAGTCATGGGAAAAATTATAAGATCGACGATATATCTAGTAGATAAGGGTGAATATAAATAATTCTATGGTCTGAAAGATCGTACTGTACGATGTAAGGTGATTGTTTCCATTCCCTGGGCATCATATATTGAGGTGACGATGAAGGGTGGTGCCTCGTTACACCACAAAATTGCATCGGAGGTCTACTGAAGTCCGTGACTCAGTCACATTGATGTGTCTGATCAAGTGGTTGCAGCATTATGTACTAGTAAGGATGCAACTAACCTGTACAAAACACTGCACGGCTAACATCAGTTGACCTAATTCCGGTCAGAGATGTTTACAGCCAGAGATGAGGTTCAAGCTCCACACACAGACAATCCTGTGTGAACTGTGTGGTAGACAGGTGGTGTTTCCTGGTTCTGTGCAGAATGTGTGACGTGGCTGGTGTAGGAGTAAGTTGTAGGATATTTGTGATGTCTTGACCTGTTTAGTGTATGATGATCCCAAGAGGTGGTACCCGGTAGCATATGACAATTCTGTCAAATGTCTACTCGATCGTGAATGTGTGATGGTCTTCAGGTTTTGGTACAGATCATGTCTACTAAAAGCCACATGAAACATATTCTACAAGAGTACGGACACCGATCAGACAGGGAGAATTCTTGCAAACTTTCACAGAACCCTCGCCATGAGGCCAGGCGCTGCCGAGGAGTTGAGGAAAACTTCAAACTTCTGTTGAAGGAAAGAGTGTCAATTGACCAATCTGATTTCATGAGGGTTGGTGGGGGATCCAATCCAGCAGTCTCAAAATCCTGCAGAATAAGAGCACAAGGAGAGTGTGTTATGGCTATCTTCTGTCTGCGAGGTCATCCTGTGAGTGTGCCATGTCTACCACCTCCAACACATGGATGGGGAAATTGTCCTTCCTCAACAGAAGAACCTTGAACACCTGCGATAAAGATAATATCGCAAATTCTTCCATCCTTCCATCAGACCATCGTTAAGCCACAGGTCCAGCAGAATGGTGGTAGGCATGGACAAAATAGTGTGCCGTTTATCCACACCCAGAGGCGTGGAGAGCAGCTGCTCGGGCGCGCTGGGGCGGGCGCTGATGACAGGTGGTACACTTGTGGGAAGGCTGATCTCTGGGTTGTTGGCGCCAGCACTGGGGTTGTCACAGACATGTAGATAGGTGTAGCATCAGTGTGGTCATCAGTGTCTGGAGAACTGTCGTCTCTGGAGTAGTCACAGGCAGCTGTACAGGTGAGGTGTTTGCCCGGTTGACGTAGATAGAAGAGATGCAGGGGAGGCCGATCTAGAGGGGTAGACGCTGGTACTGCAGGATAAGTTAAGAAATAGGTCCTTAGGAACTCATTCCTACATTCTTATCATATTCTTCACACAATTACGACCAGTTTCAATTGGAGAAACATGCATTTAATCTCCCTTGCATGTAAAGTGAAATGTCAACCAATATAACCAGCTACTGCCACACTATTCTGGACTGTTAACATGCTGTCCCGTCTTACACTGATGATTGCACTGAATGAATAAGATTGTATGATCCACTTAGGGTTAACACAATTTGTGACAAGGCAGGGTCACCTATTAATAAGTGCAGTTTCCTCATTGCTTCCTGGTGTCAGCTGGTCACAAGGAATCTCTACAAGGGTAAAGACATTGCAGCCAGTGGAAACTGTCACGAGGAATCTCTACAAGCGTAAAGGCATTGTAGCCAATAGAAACTGTCACGAGGAATCTCTACAAGTGTAAAGGCATTGTAGCCAATAGAAACTGTCATGAGGAATCTCTAGAAGCCTAAAGGCGTTGTAGCCAATGGAAACTGTCACGAGGAATATCTACAAGTGTAATGGTGTTGAAGCCAATGGAAACTGTCACGAGGAATCTCTAGATGCCTAAAGGCGTTGTAGCCCATGGAAACTGTCACGAGGAATCTCTAGATGCCTAAAGGCGTTGTAGCCAATGGAAACTGTCACGAGGAATCTATAGATGCCTAAAGGCATTGTAGCCAATGGAAACTGTCACGAGGAATCTCTAGATGCCTAAAGGCATTGTAGCCCATGGAATCTGTCACGAGGAATCTCTAGATGCCTAAAGGCGTTGTAGCCAATGGAAACTGTCACGAGGAATCTCTAGATGCCTAAAGGCATTGTAGCCAATGGAAACTGTTATGGGGAATCTCTAGATGCCTAAAGGCGTTGTAGCCAATGGAAACTGTTATGGGGAATCTCTAGATGCCTAAAGGCGTTGTAGCCAATGGAAACTGTTATGAGGAATCTCTAGAAGCCTAAAGGCGTTGTAGCCAATGGAAACTTTTATGAGGAATCTCTAGATGCCTAAAGGCGTTGTAGCCAATGGAAACTGTCATGAGGAATCTCTAGATGCCTAAAGGCATTGTAGCCAATGGAAACTGTTATGGGGAATCTCTAGATGCCTAAAGGCGTTGTAGCCAATGGAAACTGTTATGGGGAATCTCTAGATGCCTAAAGGCGTTGTAGCCAATGGAAACTGTTATGAGGAATCTCTAGATGCCTAAAGGCGTTGTAGCCCATGGAAACTGTCACGAGGAATCTACAGATGCCTAAAGGCATTGTAGCCAATGGAAACTTTTATGAGGAATCTCTAGATGCCTAAAGGCGTTGTAGCCAATGGAAACTGTCACGAGGAATCTCTAGATGCCTAAAGGCATTGTAGCCAATGGAAACTGTTATGGGGAATCTCTAGATGCCTAAAGGCGTTGTAGCCAATGGAAACTGTTATGAGGAATCTCTAGAAGCCTAAAGGCGTTGTAGCCAATGGAAACTTTTATGAGGAATCTCTAGATGCCTAAAGGCATTGTAGCCAATGGAAACTGTCACGAGGAATCTCTAGATGCCTAAAGGCATTGTAGCCAATGGAAACTGTTATGGGGAATCTCTAGATGCCTAAAGGCGTTGTAGCCAATGGAAACTGTTATGGGGAATCTCTAGATGCCTAAAGGCGTTGTAGCCAATGGAAACTGTTATGAGGAATCTCTAGAAGCCTAAAGGCGTTGTAGCCAATGGAAACTGTTATGAGGAATCTCTAGATGCCTAAAGGCATTGTAGCCAATGGAAACTGTTATGGGGAATCTCTAGATGCCTAAAGGCGTTGTAGCCAATGGAAACTGTTATGAGGAATCTCTAGAAGCCTTAAGGCATTGCAGCCAATGGAAACTGTTATGAGGAATCTCTAGAAGCCTAAAGGCGTTGTAGCCAATGGAAACTGTTATGAGGAATCTCTAGATGCCTAAAGGCGGTGTAGCCAATGGAAACTGTTATGAGGAATCTCTAGATGCCTTAAGGCATTGTAGCCAATGGAAACTGTTATGAGGAATCTCCAGAAGCCTAAAGGCGTTGTAGCCAATGGAAACTGTTATGAGGAATCCCTAGAAGCCTAAAGGCGTTGTAGCCAATGGAAACTGTTACGAGGAATCCCTAGAAGCCTAAAGATATTGTAGCCAATGGAATCTTACGAGGAATCTCTAGAAGCCTAAAGGCATTGTAGCCAATGGAAACTTACAAGGAATCCCTAGAAGCCTAAAGGCGTTGTAGCCAATGGAAACTGTTACGAGGAATCCCTAGAAGCCTAAAGGCATTGTAGCCAATGGAAACTGTTATGAGGAATCTCTAGAAGCCTAAAGGCGTTGTAGCCAATGGAAACTGCTGACTTATGTCAAGACAATACCAGTGTTCAAACTGGGGACAGAAGATGTTACTGTGATGGCAGACCCAAATTGTCCAATTGAATGGAATGTGTGAAGACAGCATTGGTATCAAAGTCAATGAAGTTCAATAGAAAAGCACATCCACAGCCCTAAGGCATCATCACTAGTTCAAACTGCACCTGGTAAAGCCTAACTAAAGACATTGATGTCGCAGATCCAGATAGCCGTCGAAGGAACTGGAACTAACTACCAAACCATTGCTAGTGGAGTAACCACTGATGGTTGTAGAAGTAATGCTGAAACGTGATGGACATACCAAGTTCATGGACATACCATGCTCATGGACATACCATGGAAATACAATGCTCATGGACATACCATGGAAATACCATGCTCAAGGACATACCATGCTCATGGACATACCATGCTCATAGACATACCAAGCTCATGGACATACCATGAACATCCCATGGAAATACCAAGCTCATGGACATACCATGCTCATAGACATACCAAGCTCATGGACATACCAAGCTCATGGACATACCATGAACATCCCATGGAAATACCAAGCTCATGGACATACCAGGCTCATGGACATACCATGGACACACCATGCTCATGGACACACCATGCTCATGGACACACCATGCTCATGGACATACCATGCTCATGGACATACCAAGCTCATGGACATACCATGCTCATGGACATACCATGGACATCCCATGGAAATACCATGTTCATGGACATACCATGGACATTTTAATGGACATACCATGCTCACGGACATACCATGGACATACCATGCTCATGGACATACCAGGATTCACAACAGTCAATGATACATGATGAGGAGAGACACTGGCAGCGGACAGTGCTGGCGATGATGACATCCAGTGTGCCAAGGTGCTCATCATGGGTATGTCGGATGGTTGCCCAGCACATTTTGCTTTCTGTGTTAGCTCGAAGAGAAGAAGGAAATTGCAGTGTGTTGAGTCAGGATAAGAATAAATTGCATAATTTCTAAAATACATCATATAACACTGTTCCACCAACTTGTATACAACATTGATGAAGTTGCTTCAATCTATATGCAATTACTAATTTTCACAACTGAAATGCATATCTCTCTTATTCTAATCCTGGCAGACCTTTGTGTTGGTCATAACTTTGCATGAAAGGAACTGACCTTGAGAATCTCGGTAAATCCAAAGCGGTTCTCCACCAACGTTGTTTTCTCTGTGTCCAAGATGGCCAGACTCATGAGAAGGTGGAAGTTCTTGCATGGCCTATCTGTCCACACAACCTGCACAGCCACAAACAGCATAATCGTCTTCTCATGGAATGGGCTCTGCCTGTTTCATTCATAGTTGTAACATTGCATCAATAATAATGCATTCCTTTGGCTACAGTCTAAAGGTCAGTCATGTCCAGTCCAGAAATGAAGCTCTGTCCTATCTGGCCATCAGTCAAGTCTGAGTGTGAATCTGAATCATGTCTGGGCCAGTCATGACCGTCATGCATATAGGTCAATCCTATCTGCTATAAATGTCATGTCCAAGTCAGTCACACCCACATGTGATATCTGAGTCTGTCATGTCTGGGCCAGTCATGACCGTCATGTGTATAGATCAATCCTATCTGCTATAAATGTCATGTCCAAGTCAGTCACACCCACATGTGATATCTGAGTCTGTCATGTCTGGGCCAGTCATGACATTCATGTGTATAGATCAATCCTATCTGCTATAAATGTCATGTCCAAGTCAGTCACACCCACATGTGATATCTGAATCTGTCATGTCTGGGCCAGTCATGACCGTCATGCTTATAGATCAATCCTATCTGCTATAAATGTCATGTCCAAGTCAGTCACACCCACATGTGATATCTGAGTCTGTCATGTCTGGGCCAGTCATGACCGTCATGCTTATAGATCAAACCTATCTGCTATAAATGTCATGTCCAAGTCAGTCACACCCACATGTGATATCTGAGTCTGTCATGTCTGGGTCAGTCAGTCACACCCACATGTGATATCTGATTCTGTCATGTCTGGGCCAGTCAGTCACACCCACATGTGATATCTGATTCTGTCATGTCTGACAAAGATTCCAAATTCCTGCAACACAGATAAGGCTGTGTACAGGGCAGCTTAATTGAGAAACCTGACTTCATACTCCTTACCTCCCATAACCTCTGTATCTCGTGGAAATGAAACTCTCTCTTGAAGACAATCAGTATCCAGCGGAAACAGAAGTAGAAGTTGCCGGAATCATGTCCCTCTGCAAGGCAACATACGTATACAATGTGCTCTCATCACACAGGAACAGCAAGCCGTCTGTTAGTGGCAGGACACAGTCAGCGTTACAAACCAAACACATTTCACTGAAAGCCTGGGGGTAATGACTTGCAACATATGTCAGTAATATGTTGTTTTATTTAGTATATCAGCTGTAGTTTTTGAGTAGAATTGTAGCACTGGTTTATCAAAGAGTCCCTGTCACTCATGAGGACTTATTATCCAGAATAAAAATAGAAGGATCTCCACTTGTCATACATGGTTAATGGCTGAACATTATTTCACAACAAATAGCAGGCTACTTTAAACAAAGCCCAACTATACTAGATATTTTGTAGGAACTAGAGAGCTTACACTGTTCATGAGTAATCAGCTCCTAATAACTGTACCTGAAATATTGGCTTGAGCAGTATTTTTCTCTCAGTTTATATAGCTATTATTCCACAATGTCGGCGGTAGAAACTAGCATCATAACATATAGCAAAACCCCTAAAAATGGCAAATTTCTACTGGTCCTTATGATACCTTAACTATTGGGCAGTTTGGCAAGGACTACAGGACTAGTGCCAATTTCTAACACTGAATGTTGGTCTGAATTGTGTTTCAAGGCTTTATGAGTTCTTCACGAAGGGTCAAGAAATAAACATCTGACACAGAAAGTATGCCATTGTTGTCTTACCTAAGTAGTTGCACAGCTCAGGGTCATACACCTGCATAAGCTTGTGGATCTGAGACAGCTGCACTTTCATCCCATTCTGGTCCATTTCAAAATTGTGTGCCTTAAACAATCAGAGGACTTCATCATTTTGCTGTATTTGCAGGGTTTAACGAGATGCAGAAATGTGCATCCAGTATACACAAATGTATAGAACAGACGCAGAAAGAATGTTTAATGAATCCTGAGTGATGCACAAAAACATTCATTGTACCACATTCTTTACAAGAAATGCAAAGATCCTGTAATTAAAAGTATTTATCAAATCTTACAGTACAGTACACTATACTATTTCAATACTTTACAGGACCCTCTAAATTAATTATTGGACGTCCCCTGGACCTCTAGTTTTGTAGGTTAAGGATAAACCGTGTGTTTGTCATACCCATGTTCTGTTAAGTTTCCACATAATTAGACAGACCCATTCCATGAAATGTTCTTTTACCGGATCCCCATCTTAGCACATCTAACAAACAGAATTACACCTGTGTAAAGTCATTCTTACCACTCTCTCCATAAATCCTGCAAAACACCAGAAGGCATCAACTTCATTCTCCATGACAACCAGGATGGGGGAGAGGAGGTCACTCATGCCCTGGACATAGCCTGCAGACAAACAGCCACAGTCAGTCCCACACTTGAGTGGCAGACCTGCACTTCCAGTATGTAGCAGACAACACTATGTCCCATTGGTAACATGTTACTTAAGGTAGTATGGTTACACAAGACACATAAACAATCATACAGGACTAATGAGTCAAAGACAATGTTACATATCTATTCACAGCAGTATGAAGTCATATCATATATTTTCATTACAAGTGTAGATCATGTAGGTAGGAAGCATGAACATTTTACGAACTAGTCAAATCTAGATATTTTTTATATTTGTATACTTATCCTGCATTACTCCTTAAGGCATTTACTGCTTACTTTTGACAGAAATCAAGCTTTCCAGCTGGTGAGAGGAAAAAGGTTGTTCCATTCCATCAGCAGGACCCCCAATCACCAGCTGCCATGTCCTCCTGGAAATGGTGGCGTCACGGAACCTTCATATTACTGTGGGTCACACATAAATTGTCTGAGGTTTTAGTGGGGAGGCAGGTCTGTGACAAGTGGGCCCTTAGATGAAGTAATGCAGGATAAGTATACAAATATAAAATATATCTAGTTTTACTAGATTTTTTTAACTTATCCTGCATTTCTCCTTAATGTATCTGTATCCGACGGTATGGAGGCCGGGATACCTTTAGATGTGTACTCAGTAAACACTCTCACGACTTCCAGTCATGTTCGCCGCACGGTGTAATTCTTCTGCGCAGATCGGTAGCTGATCCTATCCACGGAAAGGTGATGAGAGTGTGAGTATGTCCGGGTAAACAAACAGTAAGAGATAATATCGTGCACTAGGGTCTAAAAACTGCATTACCAAGCCATGACTAGGTAAAAGCAGAAACCCCTCCTAACAAGCGAGTAGTGAAACTAATGTCAGTCGGGTAAGGCTGGCTTTGGTAATGATTAATTTTTTCATGGCGTCGCAGATTGGTCTACTGCTGAGCTACAACCATCGGTCCAAAACTGAGCATGCCCTTGAGTCTTCTAAAACCATCACCTCCAGGTAGTGGCTGGCGAAGCCCGAGTCTGACATCCAAAAACATCCTTCCATGATGGCTCTAACTGAACAATTATTGTGTAGAGTCATCATCAAGGCAACTGCCCGAATCTTGTGGGGGTTATTACCTCTCGGCAGCCTGAGATTAGCAATCTCTTAAGCCTGAAGGATATCACACAACCACAAAGAAATGGTACTGCAGAATTCTTTCCTCATCTCTCATAATAAAGGTGGGATGGTGAGAGAACAATCGGGTTGTCCTGGAAGTTGGGTTTTTTTGCCATAAAATTCTAGCATAACCTGAGGCAAACCGAACACGAGTGATGTTAAGCGTATGAATCTCGTTCACTCTTGCCACCAGGGCTAGATAGAGCCAAGAGAAAAATGGTCTTCTTGGTGAGATGTTGAATCGGGGCTTGAATCGAGCTCCACGCAAATATTAAAGTACCACATTTAGATCCCACGCTTTGGGACAAATTTTGGCCTTCTGATCCTTAAGCTGCTTTCAGTTCCGGTATCTTGGTCATTTTATGATCTTCCGGAAATGTCAACACTAAACACTAAGGGTAAGGGTGCTAACCTTCAAGTGCCGTTCTGTACACAGGTGTAAGAGATACTCGGCCAAGAATTGAGGCGAGGTTGTAGTGGGATCTTGAGCCTTTTCCTTACAATAGGTCTCAAATGATAGCCACTTATCATTGTAAAGGCCTCGAGTCGAGGGTCTTTGTGCCATAGCAATGGCCTTAGCCACTCGGGCCGAATAGCCTTTCTTGCCTAGGGCTCTTTACAGATGAATCAGGTGTCCAGATGAAACCTGCCTGTCTTGGTTGTGGTCGCCTGCTGTGTGGGTGCGTGCATAGGTTGGTCCACCCGGGTAGGGGTAGTGGATTGCTTCCTGCATGGTTTCCTAGGTCCACAAAACACCCTCTTGCCAGCCACCATGCTCAGTGTGAGGCTCCTGGTGAATAGGTCGATGTTGGGTTGACATGTGAGATGGAATGCCTCTGAGCCAATGTGTCTGGCCTGGATAGGGTGTCTGCCAGCACATTTCGACAAACTTCACATGCTAATATTAAATATTATTGCATATGAACAACACCGAACCAGACACCACCAATTCACTGGGGGAAGGGACTAAAAATAGCAGCACATGTTATCTGTTCGGTTACCAACACCAATTCCGGTATCACGTGGCAGCTGGTGATTGGGGAAATGGAACAACCTTTTATTCTCACCAGCTGGACCAATCAGAGCTTCATTTCTGTTAAAAGTAAGCAGTAAATGCCTTAAGGAGTAATGCAGAATAAGTTAAAAAATATAACAGATTGCGTAGTGCAGACAACTTTTGGATACAGTTTTGGTCTCACCTAGATCAAAGTTGTACATGCAGTAGGTCATGAGGATGTCGTTGAGCACCTGCAAATTCTGATTGTTTTCGCCCACAAAGAACTTCTGTGTCCGGTCTGTCCTCGTCACATCCTTGTCTGGAACACAGAGCTCAGTCACCAACACACTTCAGAACCAGAAACTAACAATGCTACACCAAGTACAGAACCCTGCCATTTCTTACTGACCATGGTTTGTATAAGAATGCTCACCAATAAGCCCTTTTCTCTCCCTCAGCAAGGCAAATCTGCGCTCCTGTTCTGAGCTGATGGTCTTCCACTGCAGCTTCATGCGGAAATAGTCATCTCTGCAAGATCAAGGTCAAGAGTTACCATCTCTGTACCATGTCACAAATACATTATTTACAAATCCATATTTCAAAACTGTTGTGAGAGAATTTAGAAACTTAAGTAAAGTAGTATATCTATAATATTATTCTACTGATCATGATACAATTTAGAGCAATTTACTTTGTTATTTGATCCTATAACGCAGTTCCCAAAATGGGTGTGTGGTATGCGATGCTGTCAGTAAACTGGATTCAATTACTATCATACGTAGGCTCCCCATCCTCACAAATGATGTAGCAACTGTCCCATCCTTACTCTGGCACGCCAGACAGTGCTCCATCATTGAGTACCTGTGCAGCCTACAATAGGTCAACAAGAGCCAAACAATCCCTCAGAATATTCATTGTGCAACTACTTGACACATGGGAAATATTTGGTATAACACTCATCAGGAGGATGTAGTGATAATCTCAATGCTTAATGTGGAAGCAATGTTAACTGTTCTCATTGTTGTCTCAAGCTGTAGGACATGATATGAACTTGACAATACATCCAGACACTCACTGTGCCAGTACGTGCCCCACAAGAAAACATTTCCAACACTCAGCCAGTGGTTTCAATGACTAAAGCATTGCTGAGTGCTGTAGTCAAAGTCTAAAATTTTAGATATTTTTGTTCTAGATGATTCACCCTGTGTGAAGTATTTGAAGACCTGATTCTGATTCACAACATGACGTCTTTCTATACTCGGTGTTGTCTTTAATCTGAAATTGTAGCAGATATCAAAAACAGCTCAACAATCTTTCCCAAAATGTGTTGAGTCACAAAGGGGAAATATCTGGCAAGCACTCAGCGGGAATTTTTACAACGATCTGAATGCACAATGCTAAAGCATTGCTGAGTGGTGGATCTAAACCTGCATGCCCCTAGGCCTGCAAGATGCTTGCGGTATTGCGGTATTCTTAGAGACCTAGGTCTTGCTGTCGTTGGTGTGACTTCCAAGTAGCGAAATAGATCCCGAACTGGGCACATGGATAAATCAGCTTTATCTTGATGTCCTAAAACTGTAGATAGGGATGATAAGGTAAAGGATCGTTTCTCCTGCCCTTGTTGATTTTAGCTGTGATTAGCTGTACTAATTCTATGAGATCTGGATCAGTATGGTACAATCAAAATCAGATTGAATATCTGCGTGTCCCTGAGTTCCTGTAGAATTCTGGGTGTGCAGAGCTGGAGGCAGGAATGAAGACCTCCATTGTGATAGCAAAAGCATCATGGTTCCAAGTCCAAGGAGCTGGGCCTCGTGACATGCATACCTGAATCTTCTGAATCTCCCCATGTCGTACGCAGACGTTGTAATCATAATAGATGTGGTCATCATAATAGAAGGAGAAGAAACAGCTATGCGACGTCTCCATTGCCGTCTTCTTTCTGATGTCAATACCGATAACGAAGGGTAGAAAAATATTATTAATAACCTACAGGAGACAATGTTACTGGGACAGTTAGTGGTGGCAGACAGCAATTATCCAGTACTCAGTTGCCACAGTCCATTGTCAATGAAGCAGTTCAGATAAGATGGTCACATCCTAACTGGATTCAAACAAAGTGTTTTCTTATGAGAGTTTGGTGTCCGCCTGTGAGGTAAGAGTTAGGATGGGAAAAACAGCCTCTTCACAGAATTAATGGCCTTTTTGTCTTCCATTTCTCATCATCTTGTTGTCTCTTTTAGCTGAATCTCATTTGCAGGAGATGCCTCCAGAGAGAGCCTTGGCACCTCTGAAGTGTGCTAAAACATAGGTAGAATAGGTCTTTAGCAACCCATGCTTGCCGCAAGAGGTGACTATTCTTGTCATAATTGGTGAGCAACGTGATCAGGTGGTCATTTTAACTGGCTTGGTTGATGCATGTTATCGTATCCTCATTGTGTGGATCAATGCTCATGACATCAATCACTGGATTGTCTGGTCCAGACACGATTATTTACAAACTGCCGTCATATAGCTGGAATCTTGCAGAAGAGCCCTAACACAAAGAAGGCGATACAGTTGTCAAGGAGTATATCCTCAGCCATACGACATGATTCCTTGGTGCATCCAGAGAGTGCGAAGATATCATAGGTGTCGGAAGGCATGATAGTAGTTAAAGGACTATATCCCCAGCGGTAAAGCATCTTCCTCCAGCTGAATGTTATTCGCAGGGGATGCCTCAAGAGAGCACTTCGGCCTCTAGTTGTACTAGACAATGGCAAAGCAATAAGATGTGCTGTCTCTAATTGATGATCATCTCTAGTTGCTCTGTGGTTGTACACAGAAACTTACTGTCAAAACATGAAAGTGTGGGAAAGTTCTGGATCAACACAGCTGCTTCGATCTAGTTGTCCATGTGGGGATAGTAGCCAGATTGGTTGTAGTTACAAATGTTTATATATAATCCTCATGCAGAGGCCATGGAAAAGTGTGCCACTACTTCTACCTGGGCTGCTGACAGACACCCGTAAATTAAGAAAATCGAGGTGTTATTGTATGTAGCAAATATTACCTACAAAAGTATTGAAACAAGAGTCATCAGAAAGATGACATATCCCCCCAGCAGCTGTCTGTAAAGTAACCACTAGTAAATGTGCAATTCTGTATGTAATGAGTCAACAGTTGAATGTTCTTTTAGAAGCATACATTGTTTACCCACTGAATGGTTTTCGAAATTCTGGCCCGGAAACGAACCCCATCCCCAATTGAGTCTATGTCCAACTTCATTCCATAAAAACTTAAAAAAATAAAAATTAGAAAAATCCCAAAATAGCAAAAGCCACCACTTCAGTATGTGCCTGATAGATTTGCCAAGTTTCGATCAAATACACTGAATGGTTTTCGAATTCTGCCCTGGAAACAAACCCCATCCCCAATTGAGTCTATGTCCAACTTCATTCCATAAAAATTTAAAAAAATAAAAATTAGAAAAATCCCCAAATATCAAAAGCCACCACTTCAGTATGTGCCTGATAGATTTGCTAAGTTTGCATCAAATACACTGAATGGTTTTCGAATTCTGCCCTGGAAACAAACCCCATCCCCAATTGAGTCTATGTCCAACTTCATTCCATAAAAATTTAAAAAAATAAAAATTAGAAAAATCCCAAAATATCAAAAGCCACCACTTCAGTATGTGCCTGATAGCTTTGCCAAGTTTCGATCAAATACACTGAATGGTTTTCGAATTCTGCCCCGGAAAAGGAAATGATTACGGACGGACAGACGGACATTATATGCCGGGGGGATAAAAAGAGTCTTATGTCAAAGGATATAAAAGAAGACTACCATGAGAAGAAAAGTGAGGGCTCAAAGGGAGGTAACTCTAGTCGGTGGGGGAGTGGGGGAGGAGGCACATTTGGGTTCTGTGTTATAAATAGGATCTCACAAAGAAGGAAATTGGACTATGTTGTATCAGGATAAGAAATAATTACTAACTATGGTTTGTATGAGTCACAGGAACCATCTCCGATAATACCACACATCTTTCTTGTCGTGCGTGAGTATGTTGGGGCTATCTGGTGTGACTCAAGAGTTGTAATAACCTTAGTGTACTTACACTCTCCGTTTGCGCTCATCTTGTCTCTGTTTGAAGGTTGCATCCCATCGATAGAAACCCAGAAGAAACTTCCACACCTCACCACGAATTACTGGGTCGATTCCCTAGCATCATACAAACAATCATTATAGAGGTTTTTTTCAAAATCCAACAATGCTATTTGGAAACCTACATTGCCTATTTATTCATAATCAGTTTCTGAGAGAAACAAATGGGGAAAAACCAGCATAAATTTACATGTCAATTTGAAACTCATTTTTTTTTATCTGTGTACATATTTTTGGAATAAAAAAACTTACCCCTCTGAAAATGATGTCCTTGACATGTTCTGGGTCTTTGATGCGTCCTTCATCATCCATCTGAGCCGTCCATTGCTGCTGGTTCAAAGGCTCACCTCGTTTTACCTCAGGCCGCTTCGGCAGTTTGGTCTGAGAAATATCAACACTCATCAATAGTTGCTTCATGGAGACCTTAATACCATTCTTTCACAAGCTGAATCTAACTAGCCCATACCTACTGAAAATCAATATTTAAATTCTAGTTGAGTTACATCATACAAGAGATCTATTAAGTAAGCAATAACCCGGACCTTTGTGACAACCTCAAATCCTGGTTCATCCTGGTGACTGATCTCCATGCCTGGAATGTCCTCCTGCAGCAGCTCTGCGACCTCCTCACGAGGCCGTGTCATGGGGTTATCCTGCTGCATCAGGGTGTCACGCAGGAAGTTGGTCACTTTCGAGAAGCCCCCCATGGTCGTGGTGTATGGGTCTTTGATGAACTTCTGCCAACAGACACAATAACTCAACAATAATTAATCATCAGCACAGAACAAAATCAAAATACTTTTAACATCCTCTCTAAACTGAAATGATGACTTTTTCCATAAAACAATGAAAAATAATACCATCAGGAAAAAGAAGTTTAATATCAAGTGAGTAACAGTCATTCAAAGTACTTCATTCCTAATTAATTTGCGAAGATCAGGGTTACAATTTGTCTTCAGCAACCCATGCTGGTCATAAGAGGTGTCGTAAAAGAGGTGACTAACGAGATCAGGTGGTCAACCTCGCTGACTTGGTTGATCCATGTCATCATAGCCAAATTGCATAGACTGATGCTCATGATGTCAATCGCTGGATTGTCAGATCCAGATTGATTATTTACAGACCGCAGTCATATAGCTGGAACTTGGCTGAGTGCTGCGTTAAACAACAAACAAACATTCCTAATTGCACAAAGGCCTGTAGCTGTAAAAATATGATCATCATGATCATCATGATCATAAAGCACCACCATTATTTAAATATCACTAGGGACCCATCACACCTTCCTTTTGCTTTAATCCTTTCAGTCAGTAAATTAACACACATAAAATACTAATATATGATGTGTTTACTTTAAATCGGGCTACTAATCAAACCATAACTATGGTGACATGGCGGATCACTATACATCATGTATATATTCACTAACCGAGACAAGGTCCCCTTGAGAATCAGCGAAGAGATGCAGCTCATCGAAGGATTTAGAGAGCATCTCTGGATCATGTTCCTGAATTATGAAAAGTCGGGTGTCGTTGGGAGATCTGGAAGTATACCACATTGAAACATCAGAGACAAAAAGGTGAACACTCCATGTTCCTGTATCTCATACTAAAAACATGAAGACATAATAACAATTATAACATGCAATTCTAATATACATATCAATTCAGTGAATTTGGCTTAAAGCCGCTTAGAAGAGTATTTCACTCATATCAGGGCATGTCAGCCTCCAGTGGGAGGAAAGCCCGAGTGATGCAGGTCTTAGATGATGTTTACCACAGCAAACATCATCTGGGCAAATCTGGAATTTGAACCCATGAGCATAGGTTTCTGGAATGCCTAAGGGAAGCAACTCTGCACAGCAAAATGTGATGCCTTAGATGACTGAGCCACACGTGGAGCTATTATGGATCTCCATAACAATTTTGTCTTAGTTATTATGGATATGTTAAGTTTAGATATGATCCTCTTTTCAGAAGTTATTTTGGGATCTTTCAGTTTTTTGCTAGTACTCAAGAAACAAAGTGTTACTGGTGGACAAAAGGATGGTCTCCCAGAGGAAAGATTTGAACTACAATTTGAATGCACCATCATTAAATTGTCCCCAGCAGTCATCATGATGTGTATTTGACCAACTGGAATACACTGGCTGACCCACCTGCGGATATGTACAAACTGCTCCAGATCCCGGAGTAATGCCTTGCTGCCACCATTGTGGAAGTGCAGCGCAGGGTACGTTGTGCCATCCTTCAGGATAAAGATGATATAGGCCCAACCATGATTTGGAGCACTACGTTTGAAACTTTTCAGGTCCAACACATCAAAACTGATGTTATATTTACGACGGGCGTCCATCTTGGCATTCATGGAGACTAAATTTAATCAGGAAAAAAAACAGTTTAAAGATTGTAACTTGTAATTATAGACAATATAAATAAAGATGATCTCAGGGTGAGTGAGTTGGGTTTCTTAACCAATATTTCAGTAATATCTAACATGACAATTTAATATTAAACCTACAAGCAGAAGATCCTTGAGTTACTAAGGGTAGCAACTCTGCATCATAAGTTTTGATGCCTTGATGACTAAGCCACTGTAGATGACCCAATTAAGTAAGTACAGGGCATTGTGTGGTAAGCTTTACAACTACATAACTCTCTACACCTTCACCTCCTATAACAATCTAACTGTGCCTGTGCCTGCACTTGAGCCTGTTGGAGATGACACACCAGTACAAATGTCAGGTTAGGATGCACAACATTGCTTCAACAAATTCAAGTTACTTACTTACTTATATTAGGGGATTTTACGTGCGCTTTCCGACTGGAGCGTATTTCGCACACGGGCCTGGCCGGGCCATTTAGTGATATAAAAGGGGAAGCGAGAAGAGTGCAACCAAGGAGGGGGGTTTAGTGGTTGCTTATATAAAGTTTTGAAATTTTGAGATTTGGAAGACATGCCTTGGGGGAGTGGCTGGGACTAAGGGAGTGTGTGGGGGTGAGTTGTTGTTTTTAGATGTTTAGTGTTGGTGGTTTAGTGAAGTTTTAAATACGGTTAATTAGGTCTGTTTTGGTTAGGTAAATGCCTAGGGCTTTGAAGTTTTCTATTTTATTTTGGGGGTTAAGGATTGCTTCTAAGGTAAGAGCTTTATTTGGATTTAGGTTGGTTTGTAATGTTGTACGTTGGGTGAGGTAGTGGGTGCAATGTAGTAGTACGTGGTCTATTGTTTCTGGGTGAGTGCAGTGTGGGCACTTCCCGTTTGCGTGTTTTTTTAGTTTTAGAAGGTGGTTATTTAGTTTGGTGTGTCCTGTTTGGAGTTTGGTGATTATTCTATCGATTTTTTTGGAGGGATGGAGGATTTTTGGTTTGGTAAGGGTTTTTTTGAGGATTTTTAAGATTTGGGTTTTTGTGTTTTGATAGAGGTTATGCCATTTTTGGGTGATTTTACGTTTGTTTATACTTTTGATCTCTGCTTTAGATATTGGTAGCTTAAGGCTTATGTCTGGTATATTTAGGGATTGTTTTGCGGCTCTGTCTGCGTTTTCATTCCCGTATATTCCTACGTGAGCTGGTATCCAGATAAGTTGTATGTTTTTGCCTGCCTCTGTTAGTTTGTTTACGCTTTTGAGAATTTGGTTTATTAATTTGGGGCGGTTTTTGGTGTTTTTGTTTTGGAGGGCCTGAAGTCCACTTAGTGAGTCTGAGAGTATTAAGATTTTTTTTTGGTTTTTAGTGTGATGGCTGTGGAGCGCCGTGGCGATACCCATGAGTTCTGCGGTGAAGATGGATTGGTTGTTTGGGAGTCGGAAGGATTGAGTATTTTTAACTGGTTGGGCTGTGTGGACTCCGAAACCTGTGTGACCTCTTCAATGCAATTTATCCATTTTCAAGACAGACCTAAATAATCAAGACTCAGTCAAGCCGGTGCAAATCTTGACGACATGTGTGAGTTGACACACCTGAATCTGCCTCTCGGTCATTCTTGTAACTGACACTGCTGACACTGCCCCCAATGACTGCCCAGTCCTGGTCCGACTGACCATCCACAGCCACAAGGTCCTCTGCCCTCCACTCTATGTATGTTCCATCATGCTGAAACACATCAGCAGCAACAAGGTGAGACACTTTACCACACCACCATCTTAGAGGGGTAAGTTCACAATAACATTGAAACATTAATGATGATTGTTGTATGTTGTACATATTGTATGTTTATACAATCAATCATTTTGGAAACATGTACCCAGTGAGTGAGTGATTATGGTTTTACACCATATTTAATAGCAATATCCCAGCAAGGATATGGCAGGGGACCCGGGAAAATGGACTTTACACATTGTACCCATATGGAAAATAGAACTCGGGTCTTCGGTGTGATGAGCCAACACTTTAACCACTAGGCTACCCCACCGACCCCAATATACATGATATACCCAAGGCAATCAAGCATTTAATAACAGTAAATAATATGAACAACAAAAAAGTAAATGAGTTTTGTAGAACCTGTAACATTCAACTTTCATCATAACTATATCAGAAACAATACCGGTACATGCTAAAAGGAACATATACAATTTTATCATCCATGTCAAAATGATGAGATCTGATTCACATGATCTTGATAAAATAATATGTATCCCGCAGGAGGGAAATAAATTTCTCAGTGAGGGAATAAATCCTTATTCCCCCTCCACAAAGAAAACAGGCAGCACATGGATTTTTGGACAAGATAATAAATCCCTTACACTTTGAAGCAAAAAGCTGCACGCTTTTTCCAAGTCTTTGAAAGTCATGTGACCTAGCACAAGTTAACCTCAACTCAATCAAACCTGCTGTTCCATCAAATTTGTTTTAATTCTTTTACAATGGCAGATTAAAACATGTTGGGGAGATAAATTTGTTGTAATGTATACATTACCAGATCAACACTAACATCAAGCAGTTTGTAAGAGTGTGTTTGGAATGTTGCCCGTCCTCAATAATGTCAACATGTTTACAACTCTTTAACATCATACATTAACATACATGTGAAGTACACTGTTACCATGGTTACCTGTTTTGTATTGGCACAGCAATTGTTGTGCAATATTTTTATCAATGTATTGCATCAGGGCATAGGCATTTGCAATGCTCTGATAGTACTTTGACGTTGTGAAAGTGAAGCTCTGACTTCTGTTGGGACATTTTGGTCACCATCATGCTAATTCAACATTTTAAGCATTATTCAAGATGTCTTTTTCAAGCCACAGGGGCTCATTAATGCAGTTGCATCTAGCATCACCATGATTACCAATACCTTAATGCTGTACTTCTTACTTCAATTCAAACATGACATCAAAGTCATATGGGGACATACAGTCAAGTCTCGTTAATCTGACACTCATTAATCCGACAATCGGCCTTATCCGACACTAATGATGGGGACCGATTAAATCAGTGCTATTTAGACCCGTTGATCCGACAGTCTCGCATTCTGACTCCAACACACCAAATTTGCAACGAATTACCGAAAGACTCATTAATCAGTCCCATTAATCCGACACAGTGATCAGCGTACTCCGTGGTCATCTGCCCGCGAGTACACAGCCAGTGTTTTGATGTGAGACGAGTCGGCTAGTAGCTGCATATTACAATGGCTGCAGAGATAAGCTTGCTTAACAAAAAAACAAATTATAGCTTTAAATAAAGAAAACAGAATTAATCACATGCTTAGATTACCTCAATCTTATTAAAATCAGATACAAGTTCTCTCTACCGCCGAGGACACCCCATTACAGGTCACATCAGAAAGACCTTTCGCAAACTATGACCGATCTATGAAATGACTAACAGGAAGTTGACATTAGCCACTTAGAAAGCAGCTTTCTTGAGCCTTGCGGAACCACTTTCAAACTCGCGACTTCCATTCCAGGCTTTGCTTTTTAAAGTATTTTGAATAAGTCATACAGTCTGTAACAGTTGTTTTGTGTTTAGCTTTAGAGGTTGCATAATTAGAAAACATATTCCGCTAACAATGTAACATATTAATATGAATACTTCATTTTTTATTTTTTATTACATGTTTGTATCATTACCTATCGTGAAGTTCTCTGATTTTCGATCACGAACGTTGATACTTCTTAATTTCGTATAAGCTTGTGTAAGCAACTCTGTGGTGTATTCTATTATACTGCATCTAAGTATCATACATAGATATATCACTGTAAACTTATGTAACATATGTCTGCTTCCATACCTTTTTGATGAGGAAAACTCTCCCCTGGATGTGAGCATCTTTATCCTTAGAATCTTGGACATTGATGTGAATGAATACACTTTCTTTCTCATAAAGGACCTGTGGAAAAATTGAAAAACATAATATGGTATCAATGATCAGTGGTGTAGGAAGCATTACCTTGCAGCATTAATACATTATTTATCATGATCATGATTACAAGGATCATATGTTGTTATCGATCACTGTATTTATTGCCTGTCCAGACTCAATATTTACAGGCCACCATCATATTATAGCTGAAATATTGCTGAGTGCAGCGTTGACATCATACAAACAAAACCAACATATGTCCTGTCCTACAATCATCATAAATTCAGATCCAAACACCAAGGTATATGTTGAATTCTTTTAATACTGTACATAACCTTTTTAATCTTACTTGCATCAGGTGTGAAATAATAAACTCTCAAACTTGTTAAGGTTATTTGAATATTGAATGATCTGACATTGTTTCCCAAATGGAGATTGTACCCTGTGTACCTGAGTCACCAGTAAGAAAGCTGGACCATACTGGACTGTGCAGCTCCACAAGACATACATCACTTCATACAGTTATCTCCTACATACATTCAGCACCTTTCCACGGCCGGGTGAGCAAATTTCATCTCCAGCAAAACAATGACTTTTTGTCCATTAGAGGTATCGCCTGACACCTCGAGATACGATACTTATCACGATACAGACTGACAATACCACTGGTATCATCATACTCCACAACAAATACATGTACCGGGGTAGTTAGAAATGAAGAAAGCACTGAATTACAACTCTAAAACCTCTGCACACAACCTTTTTTCTGTATGAGGACTTATCAAAATCAAACTGTAGACTAAACGCAGCAGGCTCGTCCACTATTACCACCACCTCCCCGTGTTTCGCTATGCTACTTCAGTTGTTATACCATCGGTTCCTTTTCTATTTATAGCAATGACAAAAACTGACAATTCAAGTATCGTCTGTAACTAAATATCGATGACACTGTAGGTATCAGTGAATCATTAGCCCTATTGCCATGATTGCCATTTCACAGGTGTTTATGTATGACAAAAAGAATGCATAAAGGTCAACGATCTCAATAAGTTTTCAACTTTACATATTTCTACTACACATGTTCCACATAGGTGAAAACAAAAAGACATTGAGTAAATGTAGCCACTCATTAATCATTGGATTGGTTTTAAAAAAATTAAAAACTTTTAGAGGGTTAAAGTTCAGTTCAATTTCTAGGACATTCAATTTCATGCATATTTTCATACAAAATGTCAAAAAGATATTTTAAAATTGATAATCATACACAAGAAGGTGATACAATAATGAAAGTGTTCTAATGCCATTCGTCTCTAGCACTGCACTGACACATTATTGTAATAATTAACACATCAAAACTGATAATCATGATAATACACAAGCAGTAGAAAAAACTGACCCAAAGTTTTCAACAAAATCTTATCTTAACATATTTCTGAATTTAAAGGTTATCCAATGTATCCTTCTTCATGTTCATGTCAAAGTGTACAATACATTGACGTACCCTCTTTAATAACTGTGTATACACAATTCGCATTACACGCATGGCAATAGATCAATAATATTCCCTTGCTAGATGCAAGAACCTGCTTTCTCATTGGTTAATTGGTCCATATATATGCAAATTTTGTGCAATCGTAGGGCCTGGCATCCTCTATGATCCAGTGAATAATTTCTCCATTCAATTATGATAAACACTCTGGACCCATTCAACACAAAAGCTTTGTTTCGGAAGTGACGTTACCATCTCCATCTGGCTTATCACTAACGGATATTCTCTCGCTCATGGGCTGGAATAAATATGTCTCTTCTGAATAAGAGTTCGGCACAACACAAAGCAACATTCATTAAATTGGGGATAAAATACAGTATGGTCACAATACAATACATATCATGATACATGGGTAACGATACGAAATATATCGCAATATGCATATTTACCTCAAATCACATGGAAATTTCTTGACTACAAATACTTCAGAGCAGGTTCAAAAGGAAAAGCTAGCTTTGGATATTCGTGGAAACTATTTTTAGTAGTGAACGTTAAATGCACTTTACAACACATTTTGTAATATTCCAGTGTATCATCTTGTATTGATACAGTAAAATGTATCGTGTATCGTATTGTCACCTGAAAACTCACAAAGCACTGATGTATCGATACAGCCCTACTTAATACGAGTGAGCCTGTGATACATAAGCATCATATTAGTGAATCAGAATACTGTGTAACATTAGATTTTAAGTGGAAAAGATGTTTTCTTGACTATTAAGATTGTACTTCAGTTGTATTTGAGGCAGTATGTAACAAGGTGAATCATGTATTGGTGCTATCGCCGCTTGTTTCAACACTGAAAGAGCTGCACAACGTAACTGGACAGCTATTTTTTTAGTTCTGGCATTAAAACTGGAGTGAGATGAGCTGTGTCGATTGGGTCTAGGGTAATAACGGAGAGATAACACACTGGATAGTTGAGGACGGGGGACTGGGCAGTCTTCCATGTGTTGCTTAGTTTTTCTTATTGAGGGCAAGCTGCAAGTAGTTTTCCTTGGCTTTTGGCATATTTAGTAAAACCATGTTAAAAATGAGAGTACAATATTTGTTTAAATCTGACACTACATTCAGCATGTTCAGTCCTATTAAATTAAAGTCTACACAAAACAAAAGAGCAAATCCTTAGTCAACGCACAGATCATTGGACACAAGGTTTACAAACTTGAAAATGTAATGACCACTTTATTATGGCTTTTAATTTCCCCATTCAGTATTCCAATAATAGGGCTTTATCCAGACATGTGTTCAGATTTCATATTTACATGTTAAATGATGAATGGAACCATTTATGTTATCTGAATATCACATAAATATTCATATTAGTTAGGTACAGGTACACAATTTCAGTTCTATGCTAAAATCAGTTTGGATTTTTTATCAAGTTTATACAAACACATTGCAAGAAGTTGGAATGGATTAAACTAAAGGACAAGGTCAGAAACTGTAGCCAAGCATCTATCAGCACATGTTGACATGTTATATATACAGTATAATCTAACCCTTTAGTCTTATGAAGATAATCAATTGGAGATTTGGCACAGAGCAACAAATTAGACCGTCTGGATGTAAGCTGGATAACACTACCATGGTAATCAAAGTTGGTTGGTTGGTTGTTTAACACCGCACTCAGCAATATTCCAGGTCTATGACGGCGGTCTGTAAATAATCGAGTCTGGACCAGACATGATAATCAAAGGACTACATCTAAAGACGTCACAGTATCATGATCAGACACCAGTCAGAAGCCCAAGAACAGTTTGTTGGCTTTGTTAAACGCAGATACATGTAATAATATTAACAGTAAGATATACTGAAGATGATGCAGAGAGACAAGTTTAAGCAAGTAGTCTCAAAGTGTTTGGGCACAGACTGCATCTAACAAGACTGTAAGCACTGAGTGTTCAACATAATCTCACAATAACACTTGCAGAACTAGTGGCATGGGCTAGTTCCATAACATGATAAACTTGATTCTGGACACTCTTAGACCCAACCAGCCTACAAAATGACCATGATGACAAACAAATGGACATCAAAAAGTAACATTGGCCAAAACAAATTAGTCAACACAGCTATGGATTAATTGTGCATAATTTTTCCAAGTGTACTTTAGACAATATGTGGCATTTCCATTGGATGAGAGGTCGGTCACATGACCACAAACCTAACAGTCATATATTTTTAATGAGACTGTATTCTTGAAAGAACGAATACACTGACAGACTACTTCCACATTCCTTGGGGAATTCCCTGGCCCAAATTAATACAGAAGCATTGTTTCTGATCACATACAAACTTACATCTCCAACTGAGCATTTGAAAAAGAGCTTTTGACTGTATGCCTGTGATAATATGCTTGCTAGAATCCATCCCTGAACAAAACCCTTAAAAGAAATGCACACCCATACTTTACATGCAACAGTAGGCAGTGTCCCAAATAAGTGTCTGCACATTTGCCCATGGCTGGTAACTTTTCTGTCGGGCTGCATGAAATTTTCCTCCACATGCCTGACTGACTGTCTGGCAGAAAATATTAAGACTACTTAATGATGTATTCAGTTTTATGATAAATCCTTGTAGATTCTCAAGTAATTGTTTGCATTATTTCAAATGAATCAAGACGTGATTTGTCTCATATTTTGTTGTTTATATTTTTCAATATTAATAATGTCTGGTTTATTGAAAGTTTTGGAAATCTCCCCCGCCATGTTGTTCATGTCAGCTCATTCTGTAATCTTGAAGTAAATGTATTACAATGCACTGTTACAGACTTGCTGAGGCAGTTCTTAACAGACATTTCTCACCTACTACTGATATCACATAAATGTATTTGTTGTAACCAAACCTAAAATAATGTTACTGTAGAGATATTTGAGCATACATACACTCATGTTATCTCTCGTTTTGAGGAAATTATTTTCACACGATACAGCTTGGTGTATGACTGTCAGTGTAAAGATGTCATACATACTAATTTTGTTTCCCATAAATACATCTTGTTAACACATGTACACCCAAAGAAAAAAGTGAGAAGACTTGCTGTAAGTGTTTTGAATAAAGATACATACAAACACACAGATTTATTTACAATAATAGTAAAATATGGTTTGAATGTGTAAATATTACGTTCAAATAAGAGAATGTCGCCTATGTTGAATGTAAAAATGCATGTTGAACAATTGATAAGGTGAATATTGTTACAGCAGCAAATATTGTCTGGGGGGAAGAATACATACATATTATGAAATGAAAAATAGGTGATATCGCCACCTGTTTTACACAATATACTGAATAATCACAGACATCATATATACCGTCTCTTGTACATGAGAAGGGTGCGCTGCACTCCATGGTACTCAGTGAATCGCTTGACACTAATTAATTCAATCAGGACAGACCCACTCAAGTGCGACCCCAGCAAGTGTGATTAACATGTCCAATAAATTCATCCAAGCGTAATAGTTATTGTTAATCGTAAATAAAAAGGTTTTCAATCAAGGATTGTGCAATTTCTAAGAATGAACCATGTATTTTGAAAACCGTATAGTTTATAGGGGTGACTATTGAGGCATTTTTGACTACTGCGATACTATTGCGATAGTTAAAACAACTATTGCGATACTATTGCGATAGTGGCCCTACTATTGCGATACTATTGCGATAGTTTTCACTTGCAATTATAGCAGGCTTTAACAACATATATTTCAGCATTTTGACTGACACCATCAAACTAATTATAACTTTCTGATACTATGTGTAAAGAAAACAAGAGTGAAAAGAAAACAAGTTCAAATTGACCTCTCAAAAACATTTTAATACAAAATTTCACTTCATGTAACTGGTAAAGTCTTAGGTTACTGCAGTGTTTTAGCACCAATGTGAATGAATGTGAATGAATGTGATAGAATGACTAGTATTTGATCCCCCTTTTTCACGTGGACGAATATCTGGGTGCCGTCTTGTCAAGTGGTCGGTCAGATTAGTAGTATTTCCTGAATACTTTAGAATTATCCGACAGATTCTACAACTTACATTTTGCTTGTCTGTCTCATTTTGCGTTTTGACAAAGCCAAAATGGTCCAATACCCACGATTTTCCTGCCTTATTGGCGATAATTTCGAACTGACATGTGGCGTCCGCCAACTTGTCAATGTTGCCTAGCGACGAGTAGCTAAGGGACGTAACTCTAAATCAAGCAGACAAAGTAGTGCAATCCAAACGAAAGCACGACAGAGGTTAGATGATCATAGGAGTTGTTTCTATGTTTTTTAAGAAAGTAAATGTACCAAACAAATTAACTATCGAAACTATCGATAGTTAGACAAACTATCGCCAATAGTATCGATTGTTTCAAGTTGCAATCGATAGTGTACTATCGTGAGACAAGCAATCGCAATCAATCGATAGTTTGATGTATCGTTACACCACTAATAGTTTATGTTTTAATCTAACAAAAGTATGATTACTTGAATGATCTTTGGTCTCACAAAATGTAAAACATGCTTCTGATGTTTTCGCTTGGCAATTTTGGTGCCATTTTAGCCTGATTCTCATACGACATATACAGGTGAGGTGAAATAGGGTTTAACGTCGCTTCCAAGATTATTACACTTATATAGCGACGTGCATGCACGTGTGTGTGGCTGCTTATACTAGTCCGGACTGATGCCGATTTATAGTGCTAGCACACTGAGATACCATGCTGCAGTTTAACATGAAAACCCTACTCAGACACAGTATACTGACTCCGAGCCGACCAGTCCTTGTTTTACCCCCTTAATGCTGAGCGCCAGACAGGGTAACAACAAGTACCATCTTTTAACGTCTTTAGGTATGACGCGGCTGGGGATCGAACCCCAGACCTTCCTCTCTCCGTGCGGACGCTCTACCATTAGACCACTGAGGCGGTCTTACAACATATACAAGACAGGCATGTCTATATTTAGTAATCAGGTTATAGTACCATATTCAAGACTGCTGTTTACTGGGTACAGCTTAGATCTCAAGTGCTAATATTGATTTTTAGGGTTGTGTTAGGGTTAGCCTTGGTCATCCTCATTTCTTTCCATATAGCCAATGGATCCTCTTTCCGATCAAGAACCCAACAAGATCCTGAGGTCCGTTGTGTGTTAGAGCAAGCTTTAGCATGGTTAGCTACCTAAAAACTATATATAGATGGAAGAAACGGGCTATATGTAAATAAATATAACTTTTGGATATTAGATTAACTGATTATCCACCAAGCTGAACTACAAGCTGGCTGAGTTCGATCCTCTGTGTGGTCCTGATTGAAATCCAAAAAATTGCAGCTGGTAATACTCTCAGCCAAGCTTACAAACATGATCAATGACTCACATGCACAATGTATATATAATGAATAATTGTTTAGAGAATGTTTCCATTTCCTGAACATGTTGAAAGATCATAAATTCTGATTTATATTCTTATAGGTTATCATGTCACCTAAATTGAGAAGTTTAATTACAATTTTTAGATTGGCTGTATGTGTCAGTTGTTAACTCCTAGTTAATCTCAAGAGAATGTCCTGTGTTGCACTTGAAGTCATGACAGTTTATAGTGAGATGACGAGCAGGTGCTAGGTTAGCAGTTTTTCTCAAATATCCTTCAGTAACTATCCCATTATTATTATTTAACATGTCAGTACAGAGCATCAGTATGATATTTGTAACTGAATTTTACCTGGTCCTTATGCGAAGCCATATCCTATATTTTCAATGAACGAGCAATTTGTTGACGGTCTTTCGCGTGACGAGTTGTGTTGTGAATATTGAATGACGTCACCACTTCCACATCCGCCAAGCCCCATGCAGCAAATATTAGAGTTGACGATCGGTACTGTTACAGTAATGCATGGCAAATTATGAGTCAAGAGATGGTCAACAGTATACATGTTTTCATATCTATGCCACCATAAGAGCTGACAGGTATAATTACAAATTCCTTTGGTCCTAAGCGATGTCTTTCATAGTCTCGTGATAGCGTGACGTCATACTTTGGGAGCCATTTTCCGGAAAATGTCAATAACTTGTCGAGAGTGTGCTGCTTCTACTTCAAGGAAGCTCTTTACATAAACTTTCTTGTCATCGTGATTCTCTTCTAACCACATGCTGAGAGTGTAAATTATTTCATATTATATCTGATAACATCAAATTGGTGATATGGCAGGTGTAAGTGGGGGAGGCAGGGGTTATAACTTCAAAGTTGTCCTTCTGGGAGAGGGATGTGTCGGGAAAACCTCGCTTGTACTGAGATATGTGGAAAACAAATTCAATGATAAGCACATCACAACATTACAGGTAACTATTCTTTTTGTTTTAAATACATTAACTGTCTTGTATTTACAGGAGGAACCTATTCTCGTTCAATGACAGGATACCGAAGTTGTGTTTTATTACTTTTTTGGTATTATTGACGGCAGTACCGTAGATAGGAATTACGTAACGTGTTGAGTTTATTATGGATTCTTGTTTGCTTTAACAAATCTTTAACTTGAAGCAAGATTTATACACTGCACTTAAACGTGATTGATGAGACACAGTTGGACAAGATGGACATTCACGAATCATGTGAATAGGCTTTGCCACTCACAATGTTGGGCTGACCCATTGACAATAATATTGGGTAACCTGTACAGAAAATTGCTAACCCATTCACAAATAATCCTAAGGGATTTCAGGTTAGAATTGGGTCCCTAACAACCCAGGCTGGTCATAAGAGGTGACTAAATGGAGCTGAAGGAGTCACAGGGACTACAAATATCTACTTTTTACTATACAGAAATGTACCAGAATACAGAACGGTACCCAAGGATAAGTCCATTCCGCAGTCTGCTAAACTGGTTTCTTGCGTGCTTGTGTAAACTAGACTTCCTGTATGCCAAACCATGGTAAAGCCCAGCATGACAGTGCATGTTCGTCTAAGTGTCTCTGAACATGGGAGATTTCCGGAATCATAATTATCAATCTGTTTAATGTGATGCATTTCAGGGGGCTATATAATATTGATCATACCCTGGTGTTTGATGCACTGTAATTCCAAGATGCACAACATACACACGTAGTCAGCAAGGCGAAGTGAACTACAACATGAAGCGGTTTTGGTTTGAGGAATATGGACTCGTCCTCCATTTTGAGTCCCGGATTCCATTCTGATTTTGGCTTGGGTACATTTATGTGTACCAAAAAGTACATGAGGTAGTACCCATGCCAAAAACTACCCCTTCAGCCCAAATGGATCGGGGTAGTCAGGCTTGGCTATTTGATTGATGGCTTGTCAACGTAACCCGATGACATGGATCATTGCTCATAATACACAAACACACACACACATGTTCACAATTATGGCCTGAATCATACACAATGATAATTTAGAACATTTATTTGCAGGCAGAACCATACACATGCTCATTAGTATCAATTCGCTTTCATACACCAATATTTCTGAGACATTTCAATAGTATTCTGGCATCTGAATGTAATAGATATGTAAAAAAATATAATTTTATTATGAATTATCATGATTATAGGTTGAGTATCCACTAGAACATGTATTTTAACAGGTTTGAATTCATAGCAAGATTTGGGGGCATGGGTGGCCTAGTCTAAGGCGCCGCGATTCACTGTGCAGAGTTGCGTCCCTTGGGCACACCAGAAACCTATGATTGTGGGTTCGAATCCCGGTTCGCCCTGATTATGTTTCTAGGTTTGTCAGCACCATACCCGTGCTCGTGGGTTTCACCGAAGTGGTAAAGGTCTGAGACCTGCATCACTTCGGGCTTTCCTCCCACATTAAGCTGACACGCCGTGATATAACTGGAATACTGTTAAAAGCGGCGTTAAACCAAACTCACTCACTCATAGCAAGATTGAATTGTTGACATGCTATGTAAAATCAATAACTTGAAACTCAAAGAAACAAGTCATCTATAACCAGTACATTCTAAAACTCTAGATAATGAAACTCTGAACTAGTTCTTTTGTTAAGTGTTAGTTATTTAAGTGTATAGCTGTTTCATTATGAGTTGACATTGTATTTCAGGCATCATTTCTTAACAAGAAGCTCAACATTGGTGGAAAAAGAGTAAACCTATCAATATGGGTAAGCAATCCTTCATTTTATCTCGGAAGTTAATAATAGGTTATGTCAACTAAAAATATAACATCATTGCTGTTAGAAATTTAATTTAAGATCGGGGCTAGCCCTAAGGGCTAGTGTCTTGTAACTTTCACAAGCCCAGGAACTTGAAGCAATTTTTTTTTTTTAAAAACAATATTTCAAGTGTAATAATCATGATAATGTAATTTAGGCCCATTTAGCACTAACTCACCCCATATTTTTGCTGGCTGTCTGTCTGTCTAAAAGCAATCCCTCAGTTTGCAACAACAGCCTCGTGATCAGTGAGCCCTGAGAGCAGCTCATCCGACCAGTAACAAATGTCATCAATAAATATTATTGGCGTTGTATTAGTTTGTTATCCTTGTTATTGTTTGCTACATATTAAAAGAAAATCAGCAGTAGTTTGGTTTAACATGTATAATGTTCACGTTCCATATTCAAACAACTCGCACCAACTAACGGTTACTTACCTCAACTACCATCAGATTACTGCTATCGACACCTTGGACCAAACTTCAGTTGACAGAGAAAGGATACATATAACATGTATAATGTAAATACCATATTTTGAATTATAAAAAGTAACATTTGTTGTTGTTTGACTGTTATATGTCAATATATTGTTTTCATGATCAAAATAATATGTCCAAGGGATGCTTGTGGAAATCCCTGATTGGTTGATCTCAAACAGTCGCCCTTCAAAGTCATCAAACTGTTCCATATATGAAAAAATATCCGGTAATAAATCAAAGTGCTATCCTTGTGATTATTTTTATTGTAAGTACAGTGAAAGCAGCAACTAAAATATCAACACAAAAATATATGAAATTGTTCCTAGTAGAAAAATTGTTTCAGATAGTTTCAATTTCTTCTGCTCATTGCATTGAAATTCATTTAAAAATTTAAAATGCTTTTTTTACATAATACAAGACATTGTACATGGGATAATCCTAAACTCTGCTTATCATGCTTAAATATGCCTAGGAAAACATGAAATATATTTTCACTATTGCAGATTATTGTTATGATATATATACACCTGGATTGTCGTAGGCCAAAAGACTTGCCATTTACTATCAAAACAATAAAGGTGCAATTAGATCCGGATGGAGGACAAAATTTGAAGCCACGCACAAATTACAATACCACATTCAGATAGTGGGCATTTTGCCTGTCTTAAAAACCTCACAGTACTGCAGTGGCAGCCATATGATATTGAATGTCTTTTTGGCCTATTACCGTATTCGACCCGTTAAGCGCCCAGGGCGCTTAAAAAAAGACAGAAGGGGTGGGCGCTTATTGGGACCAATTCAGAGTCAAATTGGCGTAAATTCATCAGTAAGCCTTACCGTATTTTCTTGAGAATAGTGCACACTTTTTTCCCAAAAACACAGCTGTATAGAAGGGGGTGCGCATTATACACGAATTAATGAGTTTTGATGTTTTTTACCCCATGGAAAGACATTACTGTGAGCACATAACACCGGAAATACCATGTCAACAAATCCATACTGAAGTTCGCAAATTATTCATGTAATTACACTGTCTGGCTATAAAAAGTGTTCTTTGTATATCTGGACTTTTGTTTGTAACTTATTTCATTAATTTTATTCAAAATTCCTTTTAATATTTTTAAAATTAATTTCGGAAATCGTGTGTGAAGCGATCGGAAGATCGCACAACTCACCGTTATTAACAGCAACCACAGTCAGATTACCGCTATTGACGCCTTGAAACGAACTTAAGTTGACAGAGAATGGATACATATATCATAAATGCCATACTTTGATTCGTTAAAAGTCATATTTGTTTTTGTTGGACGATTCTTTGTCAACATGTAATTCTCGTGATTACACGATCGCGTGCACGGGAGCCTTGCCGGTGACTGGTCAGACTGGTTCCATGTAAAAAATAATACCCGGCAATAGCGATCAGCTGCTTCGCTTAGGGTTATTATTATTTTAAATATGTTTAGTAAAAGCTGCATCTAAATTAGCAAGATATTGGAATATATTATTCCTGATAAAAAAATAGTTTCAGATACAACTTTTGCTGATCCTTGCATTTAAAATCCTGTAAAGTTACATCATTGGGTGTGTCTTGATCGAATCACCGGTAGATTCCAAGAAAACGTGTGTACAGCTGATTGCTGTGTCTGGCTTAGTTTACGAGAAAATGCACAGGGTAATCTTAATCCCTGGATATATTGGGGGAGGGGCGCTTAATGGGTCGAATACGGTACTCTGTCATTTCTACATGTATCATTATGACATTTGATATGGGGAAAAGCGTATTGGCCTGTGTTCGGTGACAGGCAACAGCTCATATATATTTATAGCCAGTAGGGCTTGCAAAAAAGATCGGTAATCAGAATTATCATCGATGGGAAGAAATATTAACGATTATCGATATGAAAATTGTGTCATCGATAATACCTTACATACACTATTTTGACGAAATAAAGTTTAGGTTTACCAAAACAGACTTGTTCTTGTCAATAATGTTAATTGCTGAAGATGGAAAGTAACTGTCTTTGTTATATCTCAAATGTCCACTAAGTAATCCCTGAATACATGTGCCACCACTCACCAGTGGAGAGAAATGTGTTGATTTCTTTCGGATTTCTTTTTGCGTATTTGCTGAAAGATACTTCACCAATATTTATCAATAATTGATCGATAGTTAGTTAAAGATAATCAATCACTTTGATCTGTATCGGTTCTCAGCCCTAATAGCCAGGGATTAAAAAGAAATTCAGTATTCATAATAAAGGCATGGACTTACAGTAGGTTTTCTTCTTAAGTCAAAGAGGATTCATCCGATTTTAGGTAAGTCAAGCGAGTCCCAAAACTAATCGGCAGGTCACCGGAACATTTGTTGAATTTTATTTTAGATGTCAAATTTGTGACTTCAGGCTGACAGTTTTTTACCCCTGATAGAGAGCTTGGTTGTGACCTGTTTAACTTCTGCTTGTTTTCATTAGAAGAAACATGCTTATTTCAGATTGTGTTAAACAAAACTGCATCCTGTTCTATAATATATATAAAAAACTCCTGATCTGCCCCTTGCTCTAACATGACTTAAGAAAAGATGTGGGAATGTCACATGACCATTTCAAGAAAACAAATATCTAACTCTTTTTTTTCTTTTTCTTTTTTTTTAAAATCATTTTACATTTATTTGATAAAATGTGACATTCCAGTACATAGTTGATTAATCATCTAAATAGATGATGGCATGTTGACCAAAATTTATAGAACAGGCCAGTGTCACACTCAATAATCGCTACACATTTAGTAAGGTTGTAGTAGTTTCTTATTTCGTTCTGAAAGACTTGAAATGACGGGAGTCTCTTATTTAACCTAATTTTTAAATATAAGGTCGTTTATTATCAAGAAGATTTAGAGGGTTTCTTTGTAATTTCGATTTGGATGTTAGCCTTTTGAAGTAGCCAAACTTCAAGTTGACGCCAGATTTGCTGAACCATATTACAGGACCAGAAAAGATGGATTGGGGTCTCCATATCAACTGAACAAAAACTGCAATTTCGACTTTCAACATAACCTAATTTACACAAGAAAACATTAGTCTATAAACAAATATCTAACATGATGAAACACATTTAGTTGAGACAATTTTTTAAAATCTGTCTCCCATATCTTCCAGAAAACAAGCTTTCGCAACCAACTATTACACAAAATATCGTGATTAATATATAGCTTCCGCTATCTTATGAAAGTTGTTAACTTTATGCTGTAAACTTGGTTCAGTGAAGCTGTTACTATGATCATCATAATAACAGTCGTATAGCTGGAATATTGCTGAGTGTGGCGTTTAAGTATCTGGTTCATTTTTTATCAACCCCTGTTGATGACATTCTCATGGGGTTGTATGTATTACACTGATACGATACCTCTCTGCATAAAGAGCTTCATAAGAGGCTCTGCCAGGTGAACTTTCGCATCAGCGAATCAGTGTTGATGCTTCCTATTTCTCGTTACGAGTTAGCTAAGCATTCAGACAAGTATATTTGATCACCGTACTTAAAAAAATAATATAAACGAGGAATGTGAAAATATTTGTGATTTGTGAGTACAGTCAAAGTTTGCTCAGGATTCACTGGAAACAACCTTCTATGTAGATGATGTCCACATTTGAAACAGACAGTGGAGTATTGGAGTAAAAGATCGGATTTTAATGAGACTGTGATGATCTCCAAAACAAATTATGCTGCTCAACTTCCTGGGCCTATTTGCTCATATATTGTATTGTAAGCTTATGTTATAGTAATAATTTTCCATAATCTCTTTGCTAAGATGTTATATTACTGGCACAGCAGCTATTTCTTCTCTTGTCATGGTAACTGATGTTTGTCTTCCATGTCTTCAGGACACTGCTGGTCAGGAGAGATTTCATGCACTGGGACCCATCTACTACAGAGATAGTAATGGAGCTATCCTTGTCTATGACATCACAGATGAAGATTCCTTCCAGAAGGCTAGTCATAAATTATTACTTCATTAGTAAGATGAGCTACAGATGATTTGGCAAATTAGGTTTTATCATTAGCCTAGTGTGTCGTACCATAAGCAATTTTTCCTCTTTTTACCTTTGGCGACAACGAAAAAAACTTTGTTTCTAGTAACCTGTCCGCTCCTGCAAACTAGCTCTGACAGAAAAAGTTTTTGTTTATTTTATTTATATTTATACACCCTATATGGCTATCAGCATGTCCATCTATACGATAAGTCATTTAATTACCTGAATGAAAAATATCCAACCCAACTGCATGTAATAATGCAGTCACGTTGCCAAAACAGAGGTATGTTTAATGAAGGCTCAGGGGTTATTGGTAAATTCTATGTCTAAAACCAGGTCTAAATTTACAGGACTGGAATACTTCGTCTTTGTTCCACTTTGTGGTATATGGTATATATATGTTTAGAAGTGTTTCCCACGACTCTATAGAGAATTTTGATATGAGGTTATCTTCTGCAGGTTAAGAACTGGGTGAAGGAACTGCGCCGAATGCTTGGAAATGATGTATCCCTGTGTATAGCTGGCAACAAAACAGACTTGGAGAAGGAGAGGCATGTTCCTGTTGCTGATGCTGAGGCGTGAGTTAATCAACTTGATTGTTTTTGCAGCTTGCAGAGTAGAATTGGTCCTACTCATGCTTATGTATGATTGAAGTGGTTACTCAAATTGTAGAATACTACTCGCAAATTAATACTCACCATGCTTACATTAACTGCTCTCTGTTGCTGGTATTTGGACCGTTTCAATGCAAATGGTGAATTTTGTTGTAATATATGTAATATTTTGAGGTGCAAGACATTGATGTGCAGATCAATTCTTTTCATGATGTAATGTGATATATCTATGATCAACTAGGGCACAGAGGCTCAATATTCAAAGTCACATGTTTCTTGCTGTGTAGAGTTACATCCCTTTGTCATGCCTGCTATAATTTTGGTCTGTCTGCACCTTGCCTGTGCTTGTGGGTCTCACCTGTGGGCACCTCTTTACATGTAATTAATTTTCTATCTCACTAATGTGGACTGGTGGCTTGCTTTAGATTGCCCTCCCATTTTCATGTCCAATAGATATGGCACAGGACACGATGTAGTCATGGTAATATATGGTATTTTGTGTTATTTTGTTCCCATATGTCAGCATGGTCAGTAAACAATATTTTTTTGTTGAATTTGAATAATAAACTTAAAAGATTTTGATTTTCTCTTTATAGATATGCAGCATCAGTGGGTGCTAGACACTTTCACACATCAGCGAAACTCAATAAGGGTATTGAAGAGATGTTCTTGGATTTAAGTAAAGGTGAGTACAACCCTGGTGCTTCCAGACTGCTCATTGGAGACATCAAACTAAGACATCAGACATCAAAGTCTTTTTGTTTGCATCATGTCCATTAATGTTGTTATATTTTAAGAGCACTACCTCTATTAGAATCATTGTGACTTGCTGTTTTATTATCAAAAACAATTGTAACTAACAAAATTTATTAGTAAAACAGAATTATGCTTCTTGTGATATCATCAAAATAGCCTCATCAGATATTGGTTCATAATTTGTAGTTGACAATATTGATATTTTATTAACTTGGGTTGTATCCTTAAGTATAAACAATGAATCAGTGAAATAAACATTGTACTAGCAGTCATCAGATTAAGATGCTAAAAGGTGTTTCAAACCATAAGGGCTGTTATCTCTGTTCATTCATTTAAAATTGATACAAAATGTTGGTTCAGGTTATGTTCAGTTTTGAATGGAATATCTTGACTATGTAGCCAGAGACTAAACCAGAATCGTCATTCCTAGTTATTTCCAATTATGATAGACCATCTCAGTCATTTGAAGCACATTTTGATATCTTAACAAAGATAGCATGATTATGGTAATGTGAAAAAGAAATTGGCAATAGACATCTAATTGATTGTGTGTTTTATGTAGGTATGATTGAGAAATCGGGCACTGACACATTAGGTCGAAGCAAGACGGGGACAAACACACGGAAGAGTGTTGTTGTGGTAGACGATGAACAGACAGAGCAGAAATCAGGCAGTGGATGCTGTTGATGTGAAACTGTTCACACCCTTGGCATCACACCCAGCAACAGCATGCTCATTGGACGAGGCTGTGCTTGGCATCCAATCATTACTGGTTGTTCATTTGATCTTGGTCTAAACCTTCACCTTCATGTTTGACTGCTTTGTGTAGATGTTCAATCTTTTTGATTAACATAAATCATACATTTTTAATTTAACAACTTATTTCCCCTTTGGCTTTGTATATTTGCCTATGCTTTGGCATTTACTTTAATCTACAAATTTTTAATATTAGAAAGTTGATGGACAAATATGTAATATTTGCTCACGCTATAAGAACATTTTGAACAATGATCAGTGCAGTCATAGCCAAAGCAGTCTTCCCTAGAAATGAGTGCTGAATGTAACCAAATACCTTCCTCGTAATGTCCCCAATCCCTTTCCTACATATAATGTACATAGTTGAGTGTAATATATATTTATGCATGTGTGTGTGCTGGCAACCACGGGATGTAGTGAGCATGAGAATACAGTGCCTCTTGGGTACACTGATAGTGATTGGTAGACATTGACTTGAAGGGGCTAGTCTATTATGTGGCTAGTCATTCCAGCAATGTTGGCAGGATTGTCAACCTCCTGTGGAGCAGATCACTCACCATGTAATGAGTAGCCAAGGAATGTGAAGTAGAATGCTTTGTAAATAGTCTGTGTGCTAGAGACATGTCAGGTGCTTTGAGTTAAGGTGTACCCGGTTCATCTGTTCTTGGATGATGCTGGTCCGGTAGGATACATGTCCATATACAATTTTGCAGGTCTTTACTCATCAGTTGAACATGCCTCAAGTGTAGTTGTGTTCACAAAGCACAGCGTTGTTATGAAATATCACTGTTTCCTGCCCTGGTCACATAAGGTTTTTTATTCCAATAGAAGTTGTCTCACTTACATGTTGGTCTAATAATAGCAGTTGTGTGTTTGTGATTAAACCACACATTTTCTTGTATCCAGTTTCTTATGTAGTAGATACAACCATTTTATGGTTTCTTATTTTATTCTTTAAATTTACGACATTAATTATGCCTCCCTCTCTCTGAGGTATGTAGTACACATTTGTAATCCAGCAAGTTGCTGTCAGGAGCTTTAACTGATGTAAGAAAATAAACAAAAGTATATGAGTAAGACTGGACCAATACTGTTACAGAATTTAGTAGGGTTGTATTGAACATTATAGGTTTGGAGTCAAATGTTGCATCAACTGTCTAAAACTGTTGTCAACTGCTTTGCCGCGGACACTATTGTTCATATCGGTTTTACATCACACTATTTGTGTGAATATTTAGACTTGTATATTCATTGTAATAATTTATCTGTATATAACCAGGAGAATGGAGCTGTAACCATGATAACAGTCCATATGATGTGTACAATTCTCGTCTTACCCCCTGATTAAGGTTAATTCTAGTTACACAGTAACAAATACATGTGTACACAGTAATGAAAATTCATGTTCAGCTTTTTACTAATCATGTAAAGTTGTGGTTTTTGAAAAGGAATCTCCTTTTATCTTGACAAGACAACAGACTCACACTCCATGTCATTTGAAAATTGTGTTCAGATAACATCAAAGGTTTGAAGTTTTAGCAGTTGGTCAGAGAAAACACTTCCACTTTGCTGTAAATAATCCTGTTGTTTAGTTTCTGGTGTTATGACTACATATGAAGGTGATATGTAATCAAATTGTTACTTCTGCATTTTCCAATATTGTGAATGTGATGCCTACATTTGTAGTAGTTCTAGATTTATTTAATATGGCTCAATGTTACGTAGGAATTCAAATGTGTTGTTAATAAAACGTTTTCATGTGCTCATCAAAATCATGATTCCCAGATCTTCGTTCAGTTTATCTTTGAAGACAGATGATCCAAAAATTCTTGCAGGTGTCTAGTAGCTGATGAATTGTGTTCATTTGTCAAAATCAAAAGCTAAGATCACTCATTTATGTGTTTGTTATTATGAGCACAGTGTGGGCCGGGATATTGTGGCAAAGTCAGTACTCTTGAAGTGTATTTCTGTCGGCCACAGTTAAGATGGTAGCTCGATGCAGCCCAAGTTGTTCACATAGACCAGGATCTCCCTGCACATGCCGTAGTCAGGCTGAGTGGACAGGGGTGGAAGTTATAGTGCTGTGTCAGTATGGTACTACAGTATCATTTAATGATACAAGTCAACATATGTTGGAGACATCTATGTAGAAATTATTCTTTCATCGTGTAAGAAATGCAGGAACATGAATTGCAGGTCAGTTTGCCTCGCACTGAGAGACCAGTAAAATAACTAACAGTCTGCATTTCTGGTTAAAATACAATATGCTTGTCTAATGACTGTATTGCTCTGTTGTAAGTAATGATGTTTGTCCAGACAGTAGACGATGTATGTATCTCTTGCCCACCGTAATGTCTCACCTCTCACTGAACTGTCTTGTCACTAATCAAGTTAAGACTCTTAGAGGTATAACATTGGCAGTGGTTGATTCAGAACAAAGCCATGTGCTTTCATACTGTATTTATTATGTATGTATAGATTCAGTAGCCATGTACAGCCAGGTCTTTTACTCCTAATCAGATATTGTGCATTTCTGTACTAATATCAAAATCATCGGAAAATGTTGTAACTATTAAATAGTTAAATGAAAAAAGCCAAGTTCCTAAAGCAGGACACTGTGGAAGATGTTTGTTTGTCTTTAAAGTATTACATTTTGGAACAGAGTCCCTCAAGACATGTAAATGTGTCCAGTGTGTGGACATGTGGCTGGATTATGTGAAAGAAGATGAAGGTTATGTCACAGACAGTGTATATTTGTAAACCTTGTGATCATGTCATCAATAAATGATTCAACATATACATGTATTGTTTCATTGTCTTTCACCCTGGGGGTAGCCAGGTGGTAAAGCTGCGACCTGTTAACACCTCAGTAAATTAACTCAACACGCTAATGAGTGATTAACGTTGACTGGGTTTAATAGTGGGGAATAAACACTGTGGCTTATTCCTAAAATAAGTCTCCTGAACCATAAAATAGAAGCTCATCTCCTGTTTATCAAACTAGTCTTATAGATGGTGCAAGGTCAGGAGAGTAAGGAGGATGTGGAAGGATTTCATAGCCACAGGACCCCGCTTCTGTCTGGGCAATATGAGAGTTGTGTAGTGGAGCATTGTCTTGCAGGAGACGGAAACCCTTGGTCAGCATGCCTCGCCTCTTAAGCTTGATAGCGTCACGCAATTTCCGCAGCAGTGAAGCATAATAAGCTCCTGTAATTGTGGTACCCTTTGCCAAGAAATCCATCATCACTACTCGGTGCTGGTCCCAAAACACCGTGAGCATGACCTTGCCTGCAGAGGGTTGGACACGTGCCTTCTTTGGGGGTGGTGACTCCACATGCTTCCATTGCATCGACTGAACTTTAGTCTCAGGATCATAGTAATGGACCCATGTTTCATCTTGTGTGATAAGTCTGTCAAAAAAGTTTGCCTGTTTTTTTTGGCACATGTCCATAAGATCCTTTGAGCAATTGACTCGTTCCTGTTTTTGGAAAGGTGTGAGCAACCTGGGAATCCATCGTGCAGACACCTTATGCATGTTCAAATTGTCATGGATGATTTTTTTCCACAGACCCTACACTGATCTTGACATCTTGTGCTAACTGGCGAACGGTTATACGTCGGTCTGCCAAAATAGCGGTCTCCACTTGATGGATAGTGTCCTCATCAATGGCTGAATGGGGGCGACCAGGAATGGCAGCTGTTTCCACAGATGTCCGACCACACTTGAACTGGCGATGCCAGTGTTTAACAACGTCATATGATGGGGCATCTTCCCCATAAGTTGCTTTCATTTCATCGAAAGTTTCTTTTGGTGTGCGACCTTTCAAATATAAAAACCTAATCACTGCTCGGGATTCTACTGGCTCCATTGTCACACCCTACTCGATCATAACACCTGTAAAAGTGGTAAAATTAATAGTTCGGTGCTGCAAATTCAGACATAACCCATAGTTACATGTATCATTACACATGTGAAATTTCAACCAACAATGATAACCCTAAGTGGTTTAGGATAAATCTTTAATGAACACCCCTCGTATTTACGACCAGATATGTACACTTATTGAGGTGGCCAAAATGACCATAAATACATGAGAAGTATCTACAAGTTCCAGATAAGCCCGCATGTGTCACAAAAACATTTCCAACATATGAATACGGTAAAAAAAAAAAACATGTATGAAAATAACATATATCCAATCAATACATGATAAAAGTGTGTCATTAAATCGCTAGAGAAAAATGTTTTTGGGTCACTAATTCTCTAACAAGTAACACAAAGACACCTGGCAGCCTTCTACCAAACCAGTCAGCACTGCTTTTAGACATACTTTGCACGCATCGTTGACGGACATATAAGTTGATTCATACCAAAAGTAGCCTATGAATAGAGAAGAAACCAACAAGATAAATCTGACGTCCTTTTACAATATTTATAAACCTAAAGCAGATTTTGCCTGTTGTTTACGATACAGCTCATTTTCACATAATGACCCTAAGAAAACCTTGTTCTAACCTTGCCAATACCCTCTTGCCGAGGTCTTACTTTCCCGACCCCAACCTCGGAGCCGTGCTTTATCCTACACATATTCTGTGAAAGCAAAGTTCCTCTAGCGTCTGTCACGAGGCATGTAGGGACAAGAACAATCTCATTAAAATCAGATCTTAGCCCTCGCTTTGTTTAGCGGCAGCGAGAACTTCGATATGATTTTAATGAGATAGGGACAAGAACAACGAACCTATGTCTACTCACTTATCACTAGACCGTTGATGTCACATGAGGGGCATCTTCTCTGATTAGGCATTATTTATTCTAAGGCTGAAAATATCTTACACGGATCGCAATACCATACCAGTGGCCCTGTCAGATTATTCGGGGAGCTGTAACCCATGATATACTCATTGATCCTAATAACAGATTCAGTCCGCAATACTTAAATACTGTTAAAAGATGGGTTTAACCCAACTCACTCATTATTCTGATATTTGGCTTTGGAGTCCTAACAATTTCCCATTGTTGGTGGCTACAATACTTTCCACAATACTCCTTGACACGTGGATGATTATAGCTACAATACTTTCCACAATACTCCTTGACACTTGGATGATTATAGCTACAATACTTTCCCAGTACTCCTTGACACTTGGATGATTATAGCTACAATACTTTCCACAATACTCCTTGACACTTGGATGATTATAGCTACACTACTTTCCACAATACTCCTTGACACTTGGATGATTATAGTTTCAATACTTTCCACAATACTCCTTGACACTTGGATGATTATAGTTACAATACTTTCCACAATACTCCTTGACACTTCGATGATTATAGCTGCAATACTTTCCACAATACTCCTTGACACTTGGATGATTATAGCTACAATACTTTCCACAATACTCCTTGACACATGGATGATTATAGTTACAATACTTTCCACAATACTCCTTGACACTCGGATGATTATAGTTACAATACTTTCCACAATACTCCTTGACACATGGATGATTATAGCTACAATACTTTCCACAATACTCCTTCACACGTGGATGATTATAGCTACAATACTTTCCACAATACTCCTTGACACTTGGATGATTATAGCTACAATACTTTCCACAATACTCCTTGACACATGGATGATTATAGTTACAATACTTTCCACAATACTCCTTGACACTTCGATGATTATAGCTGCAATACTTTCCACAATACTCCTTGACACTTGGATGATTATAGCTACAATACTTTCCACAATACTCCTTGACACATGGATGATTATAGTTACAATACTTTCCACAATACTCCTTGACACTCGGATGATTATAGTTACAATACTTTCCACAATACTCCTTGACACATGGATGATTATAGCTACAATACTTTCCACAATACTCCTTCACACGTGGATGATTATAGCTACAATACTTTCCACAATACTCCTTGACACTTGGATGATTATAGCTACAATACTTTCCACAATACTCCTTGACACATGGATGATTATAGTTACAATACTTTCCACAATACTCCTTGACACTTGGATGATTATAGCTACAATACTTTCCACAATACTCCTTGACACTTGGATGATTATAGCTACAATACTTTCCACAGTACTCCTTGACACTTGGATGATTATAGCTACAAAACTTTCCACAATACTCCTTGACACATGGATGATTATAGCTACAATACTTTCCACAATACTCCTTGACACTTGGATGATTATAGCTACAATACTTTCCACAATACTCCTTGACACTTGGATGATTATAGCTACAATACTTTCCACAATACTCCTTGACACTTGGATGATTATAGCTACAATACTTTCCACAATACTCCTTGACACTTGGATGATTATAGCTACAATACTTTCCACACTACTCCTTGACACTTGGATGATTATAGTTACAATACTTTCCACAATACTCCTTGACACATGGATGATTATAGTTACAATACTTTCCACAATACTCCTTGACACGTGGATGATTATAGCTACAATACTTTCCACAATACTCCTTGACACTTGGATGATTATAGCTACAATACTTTCCACAGTACTCCTTGACACCTGGATGATTATAGCTACAAAACTTTCCACAATACTCCTTGACACTTGGATGATTATAGCTACAATACTTTCCACAATACTCCTTGACACTTGGATGATTATAGCTACAATAATTTCCACAATAATTCCTTGACACTTGGATGATTATAGCTACAATACTTTCCACAATACTCCTTGACACTTGGATGATTATAGCTACAATACTTTCCACAATACTCCTTGACACTTGGATGATTATAGCTACAATACTTTCCACAATGCTCCTTGACACTTGGATGATAATAGCTACAATACTTTCCACAATACTCCTTGACACATGGATGATTATAGTTACAATACTTTCCACAATACTCCTTGACACGTGGATGATTATAGCTACAATACTTTCCACAATACTCCTTGACACTTGGATGATTATAGCTACAATACTTTCCACAGTACTCCTTGACACCTGGATGATTATAGCTACAAAACTTTCCACAATACTCCTTGACACTTGGATGATTATAGCTACAATACTTTCCACAATACTCCTTGACACTTGGATGATTATAGCTACAATAATTTCCACAATAATTCCTTGACACTTGGATGATTATAGCTACAATACTTTCCACAATACTCCTTGACACTTGGATGATTATAGCTACAATACTTTCCACAATACTCCTTGACACTTGGATGATTATAGCTACAATACTTTCCACAATGCTCCTTGACACTTGGATGATAATAGCTACAATACTTTCCACAATACTCCTTGACACTTGGATGATTATAGCTACAATACTTTCCACAATACTCCTTGACACTTGGATGATTATAGCTACAATACTTTCCACAATACTCCTTGACACTTGGATGATTATAGCTACAATACTTTCCACAATACTCCTTGACACTTGGATGATTATAGCTACAATACTTTCCACAATACTCCTTGACACTTGGATGATTATAGCTACAATACTTTCCACAGTACTCCTTGACACTTGGATGATTATAGCTTCAAAACTTTCCACAATACTCCTTGACACTTGGATGATTATAGCTACAATACTTTCCACAATAATCCTTGACACTTGGATGATTATAGCTACAATACTTTCCACAATACTCCTTGACACTTGGATGATTATAGCTACAATACTTTCCACAATACTCCTTGACACTTGGATGATTATAGCTACAATACTTTCCACAATACTCCTTGACACTTGGATGATAATAGCTACAATACTTTCCACAATACTTATAGCTACAATACTTTCCACAATACTCCTTGACACTTGGATGATTATAGCTACAATACTTTCCACAATACTCCTTGACACTTGGATGATTATAGCTACAATACTTTCCACAATACTCCTTGACACTTGGATGATTATAGCTACAATACTTTCCACAATACTCCTTGACACTTGGATGATTATAGCTACAATACTTTCCACAATACTCCTTGACACTTGGATGATGATAGCTACAATACTTTCCACAATACTCCTTGACACTTGGATGATTATAGCTACAATACTTTCCACAATACTCCTTGACACTTGGATGATTATAGTTACAATACTTTCCACAATACTCCTTGACACTTGGATGATTATAGCTACAATACTTTCCACAATACTCCTTGACACTTGGATGATTATATCTACAATACTTTCCACAATACTCCTTAACACTTGGATGATTATAGCTACAATATCAAATGAAACTCTGAAGACCGTCATCAAAAATACAATCACAGTGTTACAGGGAATGTTAACGTCACTGCTGATTCCTATCTCTAGGTGTGTATGATATGGTAAGCAAAACACACCATTCTGCCAAAACGTAGTTATACTATATACAGTTCATATCATGTCTCTTGGATAGTTCAATGGTTTGTATGAGGATCCCATGCTTTTGTCCTCACTTATAACTGATATCAATTGCTACAAGACACATAGTCGGTGCACTGCCACGCAGCTCCTGGGGTAGATGATTTCCTTGTCACTTCCGTCTCTCTGCCCTGAGTTTGAAGGGAGGGGGCAGCCCCGTGCCTATGTCACTGTGTACGGCCTTGAGTGGGTCCGCCCCCGAGGGGAGGCTGAAGCTGAACCTCTGCATAAGGCTGGTTAGGAACATGAAGGTATCCATCTTAGCCAGAGACTCCCCTGGACACACACGGGCACCTGTAACAACAAAGGAAACGGCGCTCCTTAAGAATCAATTGTTTCGTTACACTATACAAGAATATACTGGTCATTTAAAAAGGAGCACTTCCCCAAAAGAGGGCAACTACACCCATGAAAACCAGCTGCAGTATATCATACTGACCTACCGTGCAGTCAGGTCATATCCTGGTATATCAATAAGTTATTTCTTTATACCTTTGTAAAGGCTTGTACACACTATGAGGTTGCTGGAACAATTCCATGTACCTACACGCCGTGATATAACGGACATACTGTTCAAAGCGGCCTTAAACCCTACTCGCACTCTCCACGTACCTCCACTGAAGGGCATGAATGCTTCAGGTCTGCACACCTGGCCATCTGCATCCAGGAAGTGGGTGGGGTCAAATTTGTCCGGATCCGCCCACGTATTGGCGGCGTAGTGGATTGACCACAGGTTGATAAACACGAACGTGTCTTTGGGGATGTTATAGCCGCTGATGACAACGTCACGCGTCGTTGCGTGAGGGACAGCTGCGGGGGAATACAATGAAATGTGAATACACATTAGTACCTGTAAAAGAGGTACCTCACGTATGGCCGAGATACAACGTGACGACCTACAACACGGACACACTCCTTTCTACATTTTGTCCGGACCTACTGAATGACGGTGTATCAGTGTATTGCTAGTGCATATGACAGAAAGAGATTTTATCGTGTGTTTTTTATATCATGATCTCTATTGGCATAATTACCTAACGGGGCCACTGTTGAGAAGCGTAGGATCTCAAGTATCGTTGCCTCTGAAATATGAACAGTCGCCAAGTGATATATTGTCATTAATTCTCTAATAACTAACAGTAATATTTAGTTATATGTGACAATTTGAACCAAAATATACCTGAATAATTCTTTTCCTCATATTCAGAACTATTTAGTGTGTGTGTGTGTGCGTGGGGGGGGGGGGGGGGGGGAGAGGCGTGAAGAAATCATATCACGAACAGTAATGGTAACACAAGTAGTAATTGGCAATACTCATGAAACAATCTAGTCAAGTACAAAAAAATATTTTTTCTATTGGTTGTTGTTTAACGCCACACTCACACTATTCCAGCATTTAAAAAAGTAAAAAAAGGTAGCCGTATCACACATGAGTCATGAGTAGTAGGGCAATGTCACCGCAAACATAAAAAACACAAGGACTTACACGTTAATTAATTCATTAAACGTAAGATATAATCATAAGCATGTTATGAACAGGTTCGTACCCATATATGGCATGTTGTGTCGGTCACTCATTTTCGGATTGCGTGCATCGCCAATGACGTCATTGATTTCTGCCTTTAGGCGTTTGTATACTTCCGGGTGCGCCACCAGAAGTGCCAGAGACCAGACTAGAGTCCGAGTGGTGGTCTCACTTCCGGCAATATACAAGTCTCCCAAGAACCAGTGGAGCTGGTCATCTGATAACACAGTTATAGTAATATCATAGTGCACGTGCTACAGTTCAGATTCCCGCTATACGTCTGCTGTCTGATATATGCTGCACTCATAACAGATGTTGGCAGCTTAATGGAGAACAAAAGGGTATTTGGGGCGACAAAATATGATTTTTTAGGACCATTCCCACCCAATAAATTCTGTTGTTTGTTGTTTAACGCCGTACTCAGCAATATATTCCAGCTCAATATGGCGGCTCCTATAGTAAATGATGTCTACTGAATGGTGTACAAAGTCCTTAATTCTAACAGCCTCGTCAGACTCATTCAAAATCTGTTTTAATGCACAATGTATCTGAAATAAACTACTGAATGTCCACAACTCCTTGTTGTTTGACATTGAAAGCCTGTGTTGCACGCCAGGTAACCGATACAGGCTCTGCTCCACTCAGTATTCAGCGTTGTGTTTTGTTTTATATTTACATAAATATATGGAACTGTACACTCGAACTGCATGTACACTCGAATTGTAAATACTTATATATATAAAGAGAATCCCCAAAGAGAATAGGGGATATGTAAATGTTATGATCAGTCTTCAAAATATCAGTTTTGAAAGATGACAGAGATAAGGAACCTAAGTCACAACACACCCTAAACATTGCACGTGGACCATACTATTTCTCCGTGCACGTACACGGTCCGTAACCCTGCTTTATTGTAGAATTTATGATCAGCTTGGTAATGCGTGATGAAGGCCTATAAAGGGCTACTGGCATGCTTCAAACTTGTTGGTTTAAGCGAGAAGTACCCAATATTTTCAATGTGCCTCAGGCTGTGATTTGCAGACTTTAGAACAGGTTTCTGCTGACACAAAATGTTAATGATCGGCCCTGGCTTTAAGTTAACGAGTCCAAACAGCCAATCAAATTGCTGTTCACATGGGCCGGGGCACCGAGTTCGAGTCGCTGAAAAGAGGATCAGATTATATGATCGTCTGAAAGGAGTAATCTGCATGCTCGGCTGTCACCATTAACAAATCAGCCTGAAGTCTCTGCACAAACACTCCCTCAATTTGTCATTGGCAGACTGATTCGGACCATGTCACGTCGTAGAAACGAATGTTTGACCAAGTCATCTCAAACTTTCATTTTTGACTGCACACCCCTGTCTTCTTTCCTGGTTGTTTGCACCCTCGCAATACACCCTCAACATGTTCTGTCGACTGTCATGTTACACCTAGTCCTTCCAGTCTTTTAACCATGCATCAGCATTGGTTATCGAGCGATGTTTTTGTTTTAAATTGTATAGTTCAAAACACAGTGCATAGTTCAGATTAGGATATAGGACTAATATACATACATACCTGTAAAGGATGAGCTGTGATCTCCGCTTTCCCGCGCTTTGTGTTGTTCCAGAAGGAAGGCATCGATGACGTCATAAACCTCGTTCTCAGGTCGGAAATGCTGCCTGTGTTCTTCTACTATTCCTTTTATTACGTCTATAAAAGAAATAACCCAGCAGTTAGCAGCCACGCCGGATCATCCCAATTATTTCACACGTACGTACACACATACGCACTATCGTGAACACCCTGCTTGTGGACACACTACCCTAGGAATATGTATATCCTATTATATAACTATAGTAACCCTTCCTGGCGCACCTATAAACTTTCCACAGGTGTCATAGATCTTGTTCAGCAGCTTCCGGTTGGATGGGAGGAACCGGAGCCAGGGCACGAACTGCACGAGCGCCGCCTTCTTGGTTGGGTTCTTCTCTTGGTCGAACGTCTGCAGTAGTGTCAGGAAACGCTCGTCATCATACTCGAACCTGTCGGCAGCCATCAGGTAGGGGAGATGAGTTAGTACAGTACCGAGTATTTACTGAGTGAGTGTGTGAATGTCGTTCAATGCGGCAGTCAGCAATGTTCCAGCTTATGGGGGTGGCCTGTAAATATTCGAGTCTTGCCCAGGCAAACCATGCAGTGACTGAACCCATGAGCAACGCCCCAACACCCATCAGCCATGTCACCGGGACTGACTACACATTCAGTCTTAAGATGTACATGTATTATATGAAAGTTGTGTGTTACAACTAACGTGTGTAGGTATACTTTCCTGCCTCAAGGTTTATAGTGAACATGTGTGCCTGCATGGTAGTCTTTGGCATATGCCTCAACTCAGATTTGACAATGTCGCAGTATGTGTCATGGTGCCAAAAGACATAGGCCTAGATGTTGGGAGACAGATGACGCTTGAGCATCAATATAGAGTTGTTTGTTCAAAAATACTAAGGTCTGTTATAGAAACACTGGAAGTACCGTGACCCGAAGCAGATGTTACAGATGATGTTGGAGACCCCCTTAAAGATGACAGGATAAGGCTCGAACGGCTCTCCTATCATCTTGTCGAATGTTGACGACAGCACCTGTCGGTGGAAACGTTCTTTGTACACACATGCACGACCTGAATCACTTTGGATCTTCGCCCGAAATTAGCTGACACACCGAAATATAGCTGTATAATGTTCAAACTTCCGTCCGACCAAACCCACAACACATTCGAATAATTGTAGGCAATAGCTATAATTCAGTATTAGCTGTTCTATCAGCCATGGCTGCGGGTGTTCAGTCACTTTATACATATTACCCAGACCTGTACGTAATTCAGGAGTTCAGCCACTTTATACATATTTCCCCGGCCAGTACGTAATTCAGGTGTTCAGTCACTTTATACATATTACCCCGGCCAGTACTTAATTCAGGTGTTCAGTCACTTTATACATATTCCCCCGACCTGTACGTAATTCAGGGTTTCAGTCACTTTATACATATTACCCCGGCCTGTACGTAATTCTTGTGTTCAGTCACTTTATACATATTACCCCGGCCAGTACTTAATTCAGGTGTTCAGTCACTTTATACATATTACCCCGACCTGTACGTAATTCAGGTGTTCAGTCACTTTATACATATTAGTGTTCAGTCACTTTATACATATTACCCCGGCCAGTACTTAATTCAGGTGTTCAGTCACTTTATACATATTACCCGGCCTGTACGTAATTCAGGGGTTCAGTCACTTTATACATATTACCCAGACCTGTACGTAATTCAGGAGTTCAGCCACTTTATACATATTTCCCCGGCCAGTACTTAATTCAGGTGTTCAGTCACTTTATACATATTCCCCCGACCTGTACGTAATTCAGGGGTTCAGTCACTTTATACATATTACCCCGGCCTGTACGTAATTCTTGTGTTCAGTCACTTTATACATATTACCCCGGCCAGTACTTAATTCAGGTGTTCAGTCACTTTATACATATTACCCCGACCTGTACGTAATTCAGGTGTTCAGTCACTTTATACATATTAGTGTTCAGTCACTTTATACATATTACCCCGGCCAGTACTTAATTCAGGTGTTCAGTCACTTTATACATATTACCCGGCCTGTACGTAATTCAGGGGTTCAGTCACTTTATACATATTACCCAGACCTGTACGTAATTCAGGAGTTCAGCCACTTTATACATATTTCCCCGGCCAGTACGTAATTCAGGTGTTCAGTCACTTTATACATATTACCCCGGCCAGTACTTAATTCAGGTGTTCAGTCACTTTATACATATTCCCCCGACCTGTACGTAATTCAGGTGTTCAGTCACTTTATACATATTACCCCGGCCTGTACGTAATTCTTGTGTTCAGTCACTTTATACATATTACCCCGGCCAGTACTTAATTCAGGTGTTCAGTCACTTTATACATATTACCCCGACCTGTACGTAATTCAGGTGTTCAGTCACTTTATACATATTAGTGTTCAGTCACTTTATACATATTACCCCGGCCAGTACTTAATTCAGGTGTTCAGTCACTTTATACATATTACCCGGCCTGTACGTAATTCAGGGGTTCAGTCACTTTATACATATTACCCCGGCCAGTACTTAATTCAGGTGTTCAGTCACTTTATACATATTACCCCGACCTGTACGTAATTCAGGTGTTTAGTCACTTTATAAATATTACCCCGACCTGTACGTAATTCAGGTGCGCAGTCACTTTATACATATTACCCCGACCTGTACGTGATTCAGGGGTTCAGTCACTTTATACATATTACACCGACCTGTACGTAATTCAGGTGTTCAGTCACTTTATACATATAACCCCGGCCATTACGTAATTCAGGTGTTCAGTCACTTTAAACATATTACCCCGACCTGTACGTAATTCAGATGTTCAGTCACTTTATACATATTACCCAGACCTGTACGTAATTCAGGTGTTCAGTCACTTTATACATATAACCGCGGCCATTACGTAATTCAGGTGTTCAGTCACTTTATACATATTACCCCGACCTGTACGTAATTCAGGTGTTCAGTCACTTTATACATACTACCCCGGCCAGTACGTAATTCAGGTGTTCAGTCACTTTATACATATAACCGCGGCCAGTACGTAATTCAGGTGTTCAGTCTCTTTATACATATTACCCCGACCTGTACGTAATTCAGGTATTCAGTCACTTTATACATATTTCCCTGACCAGTACGTAATTCAGGTGTTCAGTCACTTTATACATATTACCCCGACCTGTATGTTATTCAGGTGTTCTGTCACTTTATACATATTACCCAGACCTGTACGTGATTCAGGGGTTCAGTCACTTTATACATATTATCCCGACCTGTACGTCATTCAGGTGTTCAGACACTTTATACATATAACCCCGGCCAGTATGTAATTCAGGTGTTCAGTCACTTTATACATATTACCCAGACCTGTACGTAATTCAGGTGTTCAGTCACTTTATACATATTACCCCGACCTGTACGTAATTCAGTTGTTCAGTCACTTTATACATATTACCGAGACCTGTACGTAATTCAGGAGTTCAGTCACTTTATACATATGTCCCCGGCCAGTATGTAATTCAGGTGTTTAGTCACTTTATACATATTACCCCGATCAGTACGTAATTCAGGTGTTCTGTCACTTAATACATATTACACCGACCTGTACGTAATTCAGGTGTTCAGTCACTTTATACATATAACCCCGGCCAGTATGTAATTCAGGGGTTCAGTCACTTTATACATATTTCCAAGACATGTACGTAATTCAGGTGTTCAGTCACTTTATACATATTACCCCGACCAGTACGTAATTCAGGTGTTCAGTCACTTTATACATATAACCTCGGCCAGTACGTAATTCAGGTGTTTAGTCACTTTATACATATTTCCAAGACCTGTACGTAATTCAGGTGTTCAGTCACTTTATACATATTACCCAGACCTGTACGTAATTCAAGAGTTCAGTCACTTTGAACATATTACCCCGGCCAGTACTTAATTCAGGTGTTCAGTCACTTTATACATATTACCCCGACCTGTACGTAATTCAGGTGTTCAGTCACTTTATACATATAAGTGTTCAGTCACTTGATACATATTACCCCGACCTGTACGTAATTCTTGTGTTCAATCACTTTATACATATTACCCCGGCCAGTACTTAATTCAGGTGTTCAGTCACTTTATACATTTTACCCCGACCTGTACGTAATTCAGGGATTCAGTCACTTTACACATATTACCCCGGCCTGTACGTAATTCTTGTGTTCAGTCACTTTATACAAATAACCCCGGCCAGTACGTAATTCAGGGGTTCAGTCACTTTATACATATTTCCCCGACCTGTACGTAATTCAGTTGTTCAGACAGTTTATACATATTACCCCGGCCTGTACGTAATTCTTGTGTTCAGTCACTTTATACATATTACCCCGGCCAGTACTTAATTCAGGTGTTCAGTCACTTTATACATATTACCCCGACCTGTACGTAATTCAGGTGTTCAGTCACTTTATACATATTAGTGTTCAGTCACTTTATACATATTACCCCGGCCAGTACTTAATTCAGGTGTTCAGTCACTTTATACATATTACCCGGCCTGTACGTAATTCAGGGGTTCAGTCACTTTATACATATTACCCCGGCCAGTACTTAATTCAGGTGTTCAGTCACTTTATACATATTACCCCGACCTGTACGTAATTCAGGTGTTTAGTCACTTTATAAATATTACCCCGACCTGTACGTAATTCAGGTGCGCAGTCACTTTATACATATTACCCCGACCTGTACGTGATTCAGGGGTTCAGTCACTTTATACATATTACCCAGACCTGTACGTAATTCAGGTGTTCAGTCACTTTATACATATAACCCCGGCCATTACGTAATTCAGGTGTTCAGTCACTTTAAACATATTACCCCGACCTGTACGTAATTCAGATGTTCAGTCACTTTATACATATTACCCAGACCTGTACGTAATTCAGGTGTTCAGTCACTTTATACATATAACCGCGGCCATTACGTAATTCAGGTGTTCAGTCACTTTATACATATTACCCCGACCTGTACGTAATTCAGGTGTTCAGTCACTTTATACATATTACCCTGACCTGTACATAATTCAGGTGTTCAGTCACTTTATACATATTACCACGACCTGTACGTAATTCAGGTGTTCTGTCACTTTATACATACTACCCCGGCCAGTACGTAATTCAGGTCTTCAGTCACTTTTTACATATTATCCACACCTGTACGTAATTCAGGTGTTCAGTCTCTTTATACATATTACCCCGACCTGTACGTAATTCAGGTATTCAGTCACTTTATACATATTTCCCTGACCAGTACGTAATTCAGGTGTTCAGTCACTTTATACATATTACCCCGACCTGTATGTAATTCAGGTGTTCTGTCACTTTATACATATTACCCAGACCTGTACGTGATTCAGGGGTTCAGTCACTTTATACATATTATCCCGACCTGTACGTCATTCAGGGGTTCAGTCACTTTATACATATTACCCCGACCTGTACGTAATTCAGTTGTTCAGTCACTTTATACATATTACCGAGACCTGTACGTAATTCAGGAGTTCAGTCACTTTATACATATTACCCCGACCTGTACGTAATTCAGGTGTTTAGTCACTTTATAAATATTACCCCGACCTGTACGTAATTCAGGTGCGCAGTCACTTTATACATATTACCCCGACCTGTACGTGATTCAGGGGTTCAGTCACTTTATACATATTACCCAGACCTGTACGTAATTCAGGTGTTCAGTCACTTTATACATATAACCCCGGCCATTACGTAATTCAGGTGTTCAGTCACTTTAAACATATTACCCCGACCTGTACGTAATTCAGATGTTCAGTCACTTTATACATATTACCCAGACCTGTACGTAATTCAGGTGTTCAGTCACTTTATACATATAACCGCGGCCATTACGTAATTCAGGTGTTCAGTCACTTTATACATATTACCCCGACCTGTACGTAATTCAGGTGTTCAGTCACTTTATACATATTACCCTGACCTGTACATAATTCAGGTGTTCAGTCACTTTATACATATTACCACGACCTGTACGTAATTCAGGTGTTCTGTCACTTTATACATACTACCCCGGCCAGTACGTAATTCAGGTCTTCAGTCACTTTTTACATATTATCCACACCTGTACGTAATTCAGGTGTTCAGTCTCTTTATACATATTACCCCGACCTGTACGTAATTCAGGTATTCAGTCACTTTATACATATTTCCCTGACCAGTACGTAATTCAGGTGTTCAGTCACTTTATACATATTACCCCGACCTGTATGTAATTCAGGTGTTCTGTCACTTTATACATATTACCCAGACCTGTACGTGATTCAGGGGTTCAGTCACTTTATACATATTATCCCGACCTGTACGTCATTCAGGGGTTCAGTCACTTTATACATATTACCCCGACCTGTACGTAATTCAGTTGTTCAGTCACTTTATACATATTACCGAGACCTGTACGTAATTCAGGAGTTCAGTCACTTTATACATATGTCCCCGGCCAGTATGTAATTCAGGTGTTTAGTCACTTTATACATATTACCCCGATCAGTACGTAATTCAGGTGTTCTGTCACTTTATACATATTACACCGACCTGTACGTAATTCAGGTGTTCAGTCACTTTATACATATAACCCCGGCCAGTATGTAATTCAGGGGTTCAGTCACTTTATACATATTTCCAAGACATGTACGTAATTCAGGTGTTCAGTCACTTTATACATATTACCCCGACCAGTACGTAATTCAGGTGTTCAGTCACTTTATACATATAACCTCGGCCAGTACGTAATTCAGGTGTTTAGTCACTTTATACATATTTCCAAGACCTGTACGTAATTCAGGTGTTCAGTCACTTTATACATATTACCCAGACCTGTACGTAATTCAAGAGTTCAGTCACTTTGTACATATTACCCCGGCCAGTACTTAATTCAGGTGTTCAGTCACTTTATACATATTACCCCGACCTGTACGTAATTCAGGTGTTCAGTCACTTTATACATATAAGTGTTCAGTCACTTGATACATATTACCCCGACCTGTACGTAATTCTTGTGTTCAGTCACTTTATACATATTACCCCGGCCAGTACTTAATTCAGGTGTTCAGTCACTTTATACATTTTACCCCGACCTGTACGTAATTCAGGGGTTCAGTCACTTTACACATATTACCCCGGCCTGTACGTAATTCTTGTGTTCAGTCACTTTATACAAATAACCCCGGCCAGTACGTAATTCAGGGGTTCAGTCACTTTATACATATTTCCCCGACCTGTACGTAATTCAGGTGTTCAGACACTTTATACATATTACCCCGGCCTGTACGTAATTCTTGTGTTCAGTCACTTTATACATATTACCAAGACCTGTACGTAATTCAGGTGTTCAGTCACTTTATACATATTACCCAGACCTGTACGTAATTCAAGAGTTCAGTCACTTTGTACATATTACCCCGGCCAGTACTTAATTCAGATGTTCAGTCACTTTATACATATTACCCCGACCTGTACGTAATTCAGGTGTTCAGTCACTTTATACATATTAGTCTTCAGTCACTTGATACATATTACCCCGACCTGTACGTAATTCTTGTGTTCAGTCACTTTATACATATTACCATGGCCAGTACTTAATTCAGGTGTTCAGTCACTTTATACATATTACCCCGACCTGTACGTAATTCAGGGGTTCAGTCACTTTATACATATTACACCGACCTGTACGTAATTCAGGTGTTCAGTCACTTTATACATATAACCCCGGCCAGTACGTAATTCAGGGGTTCAGTCACTTTATACATATTACCCCGACCTGTACGTAATTCAGGTATTCAGTCACCTTATACATATTACCCTGACCTTTACGTAATTCAGGTGTTCAGTCACTTTATACATATTACCCCGACCTGTACGTTGTTCAGGGGTTCAGTCACTTTATACATATTACCCCGACCTGTACGTAATTCAGGGGTTCAGTCACTTTATACATATTACCCCGACCTGTACGTAATTCGGTGAAAAAAATCGGTGATTTTGAACTGAAAAACACCTTATACTTCACCCCTGACAGTATGGTTTCTGCAGAGAGCAGACACTGGGCAGTAATCTTAATACAGACAAAGGTAGTCCAGAAGGGCACAAATATAGATAGAAATAGAAGGATCCCACGCGCATAGATTTAAGCTGGACGAAGTGTTCGCGGAAATTTCCCCAAAGTTCCATACATATACATTTTTTTATATCCTTGGTTTATTCCCTCAGTGACTACATACTAGACACTGGTATTTTGACCTTCATCAAGGGATTCATCTGGGTACAACCGAAACGACCCTAAACAAATATATATGTTGTCACCCTCGGCTGTCTTTGGATATGCTCCACACACTTATATATGCTATAACGGGTAGCTGCATACATATCTCACATACTGTAACAGACCAACAATAGCGGTCCATGGTGCCGAGGATGTTCCATAACCTTCTCACCTCCATCTCCTGGACGATCTTCTCCTCCAGCTCGATCTTCCCCACTCTGCCGATCTCCCGGAGACAGGAGAAGGCAAACTTCCGCTGTTCCTTCAGCCGCCTTCCCCCGTACGGCAATTGAGACAGCCCGTTAATCCCCGTCACGGTGTTGTTGATGTAGAGGGAGGGGCGGTCAGCGAAGGCGTCGGCCTGGCCTACCAGAGTCGCTACAAGACAACATCATGCCATCAGCCACTCATGATCATCGATGGAGGCGATACAAAGACGATTAATGACAAAACTCCTTTGGCTAACATAATGTTAAGTCTTGAAAATATGTAAATCTTACCTTTTATGACGTCGTATCCATTCAAGACAACCATGAGCCTGTTCGCGAAGTACAGTTTGAACACCGGGCCGTACTGCTTTGCGAACTTCATGAAGTTAATCTCTGGTCTTAGGCCAAAGTCTTTGAGATTTCCGAACAGGAAATGCCCGGAGGGGCCGGGCGGAAGATTCCGGGGTCGGGACTGCCGCCACCACCACGCCAGGGCCAAAACAACCCCAAACACCAGCCCTGTACTCAGGTCCGGCAGCAAGCAGCACCAAGACATAGTGCGCTCTTCCAAATGCTGATAACATACGAGGGGCGTTCAATAAGTTTTGCAACTTTCAATATAATCTTCATTCACCTCAATACACTTATTCCATTTGTCCTTCAAGCTTTTAATACCATTTTTATAGAAATCCGCAGATTGGCCCTCTAACCACGCCTCTGTGGCAGCCGTTATGTCCTCGTCATCCTGGAAGCGTCTTCCATGTAGGGCAGATTTCATTTGCCGGAACAAGAAATAGACTCACTGGGGGCTAAGTCTGGGCTGTAGGGTGGGTCATTTAACTGTACAGTCCAGACTTAGTCACAATGCTACAACCATTAGTGTGTCTGGCCAGACAAACCAATGGTTGTATCATTGAGTCTTGGCAAGACACACTAATCAGACATACTTGTCAGATTGTTAGCATTTTGTGTTTTCTTACACGACTGAATGTGACCTAGACAGTGGGGTGAAAAAGAGTGAATCCTGTTTTACGCCGACGTAATCATATCAGCCATGTCATACTAATATCACGGCGAGCTGGTAATCGGGCCTGGACTTGACAGTATGAGTAACTTCCACAACCAGGACAATCTTCCTCCATCAGGGCAACTTTAGCCTCACTACCACAATCATGGGCTACTGGGGGCATCCCGAAAGCCCTGCCTCTTATAGTCTAATACTGTATGTCCATTTATAGATGAGTGAGGTTAATCGCGACAGATTGCACTGGATCACTGGATCGCAGCCTTTTAACAGACAAATGAAGTATGATAAAAAGCACCTTGGGATACGTAGCTTAGTGCCAAGGAATACGTAGCTTAGAGCATAGGGATACGTAGCTTAGTACATAGGGATACGTAGCTTAGTACATAGGGATGCGTAGCTTAGAGCATAGGGATACGTAGCTTAGTGCATAGGGATACTTAGCTTTAAAAAATAACACTGACCCATTTATGCTACGAGGTCTCGAAGGATACATGTCAATAAGTGTAGTATGTTTGTTTTACAACCATCTGCGCCTGATTGAATGATACAAACTGACAGGAGTTTTTCTGCATAGAACACATCATCTGAAACAACAAAAATCTTATTGATCTTATGTGCCTACCTGTTTATGAATTCCTTTCCCCGCTATAACGTTGATATACACGCACTAACTAGTCTGCTTCCACGACCACGTTCAGTAAAGTAACGTGTTCTGTTCACTGTGTCCCAGGACATATAGTGGACTGGTGTAGCGTGCTCGTTGTGGCACACGCGTTGTGCAAGCAGTATTACAAATTGACCTACACCCTCTCATACCAGCATACAGATGTGGATAAGGCGGAAGCGAATGGTTTGCTGACTCGACGATCCCCATGCAGGTGATAAAGAAAATTTTGACAAATGTGGCACACAACTGGTAGTACTGTTGGCTTAACTTGCCAGTTTAGTTACATTCATTAGACTGGATTAGCTGCTCGCTTTAAACTCCAAAATTAAGCTTACAATTACATAGCTGTACAGTTCACAACACATTCATCAGTGGGCGTTGTTTAGTCCTACAGCGATTGTCTACCTTTGATTCTTATATACACTCGTGTTAATTACATACACAGAAAACAGCCAAGGTTGTAGTGCTCATTTCAATTTATTGAAATAAAAAACAACTGGAAATATATAATATCTACTGTAAAGTCCTTTTCATAATTCATTTTGCTATCCTCCCCGAGCCCGACAAACCACCCATAACAGCTAGGGTAACGTGTAGAGTCCCCTAACGTAGAACTAATCTAAACTAATCGAAAGAAGGCTAACCTATACAGTCCTTCCACTGGCGTAGAATCTCCCCGTAACTAATCTAAACTAGGCCAATTTATAACCTACACAGCCATTCCTCTGCGTAGAATCTACCCTAAACTCACCTAAACAAGAATCTACCTTTAGACAGGGTAAACATGTACAGTCCTTCTTGAGCCGCATAAGCCACCCAACACAGGCTCAGCCTGCATTAGCAGCCTCTAAACAGGGTCAAGCTATCTCAGCTCCGACACTCTTCACTAATAATCGTGGGATGATAACAATTACAGGGACAATGTGGTTCTTTGGGGGACTTACAGGGGTGTATAGCTGGGCATGGCACCAGGGAGATACCTGTTTTCGTGTAGACGATCACAGTTGCTTCCCTCACTTGCATGGGCCCGACAGCATTTAAATAGATTGTGGCAGAGATCTAGCTCAGTTCTCGCACATGGTAAGTCGGGGAAATTGTGGGATACTGAATCACTTGTTGCACAATGAATTACCCACAGGTGTCAGTTTACCAAACGGACAATATCTACTCATGCTAAAAATGTACCATGATGCATGGAGCGTTGGGTCTCCATGCTATAATCCGTCATCTCCGTCTACTTCACTTGGACAGTCCTCATGAATCCTCCTCCTATGACCTGTGCCGGTAATAGTAACAACTCGATTCTTAGCTCACCTGACCTGAAAGGCTTATATTGTCGCATGTCATCGTCCATAAATGTTGTACAGTTTCGGCTTCTGGGGAGAGATGGATCGACATGTGGATGGTTGCTAACATAAGGAGGTTCAAGTTTTTTAAGGCTTCAAAATTGTAATTTCAATATGGCCACAATCTTCTTCAAACGTAAAAACGTATATTGAAATAGCCATATCATTTTTGTTTAAAATGGAATGACATTGGTACATTGTAGTTAGTAGTTGGGTACAGCATTTACGTTCCGCTTGTTTTTGTTGTGATATTTAAAATTATGACCTTCTTTGACTTTTCACTTCGAAAGCTGAAACTTATGGCCATTATGGCCTGTGTGATCCAACATGCGTGTAATGTAGATATACAAGTTTCAACCTTGTATTGACCGTGATTGTAAATTCTCTCAAAATGCATAATTGGAATATTTGAAATTGCCAGACCAAGGGAACTGAACTTTGACGTCTATGCTTCTTCAAGGATCACATTGTTGAGACCATTGAGTTTGAGTGTTGGTATTTCATGTTTTAGTCCACAGAAATAATGCAGATAATATTTGAATAAGGACGTTGACAAGCAAAATGTTAAGTGGCTGTCTTTGTTGATATGTTCAATATCTGACTGAATGTCCAGGTGAGCTACAGAGACGTGGCATTATTTTTAACATTATTGTCCATCGTGCATTAATAACATGTGATGATCCCCAATTTCTCGGACCTGTGAAGATCTAGGGTAGAATAGATCTACAGCAACTCATGCTTGCCGTAAATGGCTACTTTGCTTGTCGTAATGAGCCACTAACGGGATCGGGTGGTCAGGCTCGCGTGGTCAGTCGCCTTTTACGGCAAGCATGGATTGCTGAAGAACATTTCTAACCCGGATTTTCACGTGTAGACCATGCAGTACCCGTACACACATTCTGAAGGTAGTGTGCGGTATAGCACACATCACAACACACATTAAAGATTTGTCTTGCAGGAGACGGACACCCTTGGTCAGCATGCCACGCCTCTTAAGCTTGATAGCGTTCCGCAATTTCCGCAGCAGTGAAGCATAATAAGCTCCTGTAATTGTGGTACCCTTTGCCAAGAAATCCATCATCACTACTTCGTGCTGGTCCCAAAACACCGTGAGCATGACCTTGCCTGCAGAGGGTTGGACACGTGCCTTCTTTGGGGGTGGTGACTCCACATGCTTCCATTGCATCGACTGAACTTTAGTCTCAGGATCATAGTGATGGACCCATGTTTCATCCTGTGTGATAAATCTGTCAAAAAAGTTTGCCTGGTTTTTTTGGCACATGTCCAAAAGATCCTTCGAGCAATTGACTCGTTCCTGCTTTTGGAAAGGTGTGAGCAACCTGGGAATCCATCGTGCAGACACCTTATGCATTTTCAAATTGTCATGGATGATTTTTTCCACAGACCCTACACTGATCTTGACATCTTGTGCTAATTGGCGAACAGTTATACGTCGGTCTGCCAAAATGGCGGTCTCCACTTGATGGATAGTGTCCTCATCAATGGCTGAATGGGGGCGACCAGGAATGGCAGCTGTTTCCTGCAGATGTCCGACCACACTTGAACTGGCGATGCCAGTGTTTAACAACGTCATATGATGGGGCATCTTCCCCATAAGTTGCTTTCATTTCATCGAAAGTTTCTTTTGGTGTGCGACCTTTCAAATATAAAAACCTAATCACTGCTCGGTATTCTACTGGCTCCATTGTCACACCCCGTCTCGATCATAACACCTGTAAAAGTGGTAAGATTAATAGTTTGGTGCTGCAAATTCAGACATAACCCATAGTTACATGTATCATTACACATGTGAAATTTCAACCAAATATGATAACCCTAAGTGGTTAAGGGGAAATCTTTAATGAACACCCCTCGTATATACAAGTCGACTCTTGTTTCGGGCGTAACTACATTTGTCTACACAAGCGGACAAAGGCAACCGTGCTTCATATACAGTGATATAAATGTTATGTTATTGAAAATAACAACTTAATATATATTTAGCCATTCGTCTTATCCATGTTTTATCATAAACGATTCGTTGACAAAACCCATACCTGGTAACAGGAGACATGTTCTGTGAGGTCTTGAGAAACAGCTGGCCATGGCAATGCAACTATGATATCCTGCCTCAAAAGTGTTACAACACGTGCAACATGTGGGCGGGCATTATCCTGCTGCAACGTGACTTTACGTCCCTACATTGCACAAAGTGTAGAACATTATCTTGATGTCGTCCTGGTAGCCTACGCCATTCAAATTGCCATTAACAATGATGAGTTGTGTTCTCCCATGAGTTGTGATGCCACACCATACCATTACACTTCCACCCCCAAACAAACGACGTTGAGTAACGCAAGGGTCGACGTCGCTAAAACGTTCTCCTGACGCTTGTAGACCTTGCAAGACCTTCAGAGCTATCCAGATGAAACCTTGACTCATCTGTGAACTGTGCTCTGTACCAATCTTGTCTTCAGAACCTCAGATGCTGTCTTCACCAAGCTAGGCGTGCCTGGAGGTGACGTGGGAGCAACATTGGACGTATGGCTGGACGACGTGGCCGGTTGTTGAGTTCCCTCAACCGGTTGCGCATTAATCTGCCGCTAGTTGATCTCAAACCAGAAATTGTCCGTGCTGTTGATGTGACAATACTGTTTAGTATCGATTCCGTAGATGCACCAACCGAATATGGCTGTCTTGTTGACGTGACGCCACACGTGGACGACTGGTCCGTGGCAAGTCATGAGGGTGGCCACGTTGTAGATAACGCTGATTTACGTTATTTAATCGTAAAACCAAAGTGTTTTGTGAGCTCCTGGTAGCTAACAACCATTGTGTGCTGTTCACATTTTTTTTTTTAAAAAACGCGTGTCAGTCCACACATTTACTCCTCTAAAAATAATCTTTACTGGTGCTGATTTCATGTGGGATAGAGTTAGCTAGAATTGCATTTTTATAATCTAGATTGGTTTTGATTTAATAAAATACATATATTCCACATTCGTGATGCAGGACTATAATACGGTTAAGGAAGAGAATATATGGATGTCAACTTCTTTATTATGAGGAACACAACGTTACGGTTGCTATGCAGTGTAACAGTGACGCGTAACTTGATTAAAACCCACCCCACAGCGCAGCGAGGCACGTCGACACGAAAAAAAGCTCCAGTTGCTTGAAGACAATCATTCTTGATTAACGCAGCCCGAGGGCAGTAATATTTTTTGTTATCTAAAATAAATTGATTTTTACTGCTTGCAGTCCCGACGCTTTGGGAATTCCCCTTTTTATGATGCCAGAGTGAAAAGAAAACACATGCATGGTTTGACAAATAAGTCCTTAGTGAAGAAATAGCTATGCCAAAAATCACAAATAGAGGAAGAATTATTGATTCTTTAAGTATAAACATCTGTGTATGTATGCATGACAAAGACGCCGAAACAGCCATCAGCAAAGTTTCTCAATTTAATTAATGAAAATCAAATCCTTTTGCACATGAAAGGTCTGTAAGATTACGCCTGTTCAAGTGATATCCGATTGTCTCGATTTCTTTAACAAATTTCGCCTTTATCGACACGTCTACTGCATTGGAACGATGCCCAAATGTGGGTTGAAATAAGACGCAACGACGCACTGAACAGCACAGTGAGGGGAGCCCTTTACTCAGGTCATGAAATGGGACCGTGTGTTACTCATGGAAGTCAAATGAGCCCTACTTCGTGCATGAACTTTGAACCTGTAAGGATCCTTTTAGGACCCCATGCTTGCCGTTAGAGGCGACTAACGAGATCGGGTGGTTAGGGTAGCTGACTTGCGTGGATCGATGCTCATGATGTCAATCACTTGATTGTCTGGTCCAGACTCGATTATTTACAGACTGCCGTCAAGAAGTTGGCATTTTCCTGAATGCGGCGTTAAACAACAAACAACAAACAACAAGAAGCATGAACTTTGTGTAAATCCTACTGTGCCCGACATTAAAGTAATGCATACAGATACAGGCCGCAACGCTATGGCACAAGACCAGGCAGTGACTTGACTCGTTGGCGACTGTACAGCGACGCAGTGACGGATGGAGTAGCGTCAACAAACCCGTGAAGTATTGATGGTGCGTCTTAACATAGTTAAAGATACAACAAACTAACGTTTTGTGAATACGTTTAATCAGAACTGCATTTTTTAGTTTCAGATACACAAAACATAACCACTTATACATTACTCTCCGTCGGTATAAAGTGAGTGAGTGAGTGAGGGAGTATGTCTTTACACCGCTTCTCGCAAAATTCCAGCAATATCACGACGGTGGAAAACAGAAATAGGCTTCACACATTGTAACTATATGGGGAATCGAACTCGTGTCTTCGGTGTTACGAGTGGACCACTAGGCTACACTCCCGTCTGTCGTTATTAACATGTGCGAAAAGGCTCAACATATATATACAGTCGTCTGTCGTGGTGTGACGACAACAGCCACGCAACCTGCCCTCCATGTGTCCATGGGTGTATTTATTGAATTTGACTTTGTGCATACGACATAGCTCAAATGGCGAACATCATTATGAGATCACAGAAATATGCAGGTCAAATTGAAGGAGGTACAATAATAAATAGTCATTTTAAACAACGTGTTTATCATAAATAATACATCAGGTCCTTTATTCGCTTTGCATTTGTCCGATGAGCTATTTATATTCGCACTATTTTGAGTCCCGTACCATAACAGAGCACGTATCATACTCTACCCTCTTCTTCGTCTTCATTGACGCCCTCTTCCTCCTCGACACATCCGTCTATTCCTTCATCAACAAGCTGAGCTTCATCCTGCAACTGAACCTCCTCCCTTTCTTCCCCAGCCTCCTGCACAGCCTTAGCCTCCTTCACCATATCAGCCTCTAGAACCTTCTGTGCATTCATGCCCTGCGTTTCCGATTCCCTAGATTTCCCGGATTTTGTCCCCTGGTTGCCGGCCCACGCACAGTCTCCCTCTTCCTCTATAGGTGTGTCCACATTGCTTTTCCCACTCTTGTTACGCCCGGTCTTCTTACTGTTGGCAGAGGCAGCTTTACTGATGGCTGAAGGTGAGCGCACCATGAGGAACTCATCTAAATCTCTGTGGACAGCCACGTCGGAGTACTTGTCCGGAGACCTAGTCGCACCTGGCCTGTTCATCTCCAGCATCATCCGCAGCAGCACGGTGTCCGTGCAGTGAGCGGGGAAGCCGGACATCTGGGGGATGTGCACAGCCACTGACCGGCCGGGGGTGGGCTGCTGGTAGATCCGATTGAAATGGACGTAACTCGAGACAGAGTCAAACTGGTATTGGGTGTCAGTCTTTGCGACGGTGCGACGTTCTCTCTTCACCTTTCTGTAAGGATTATTGAAGCACACTTTGGCATCTTTCTTTACGAACTGGGTGAAGTGTTTCAGCTTGATAGCCTCGTTCTGGGTTCCCAGGGGAAGGCGAATGCTCTGGTTGACACTAAGACATTGATTGAGCGCCTGAGGATTTTGGGCTACGAGTGGAGACGGGCTCTCCTTGAAGGCGTTGCGCGTGAATCGGCGAGGTGAACGTAGGGGGCTATCGATACTAGGGTACATCTCACTGTACCCAGATCTGGATGTCCCGCTATCCACCCCCTTCATTTTATGCCCAGTAAGTTCAAACCCTTCCCCTTGAGACCGAGATGATCTCTTGGCCATGAAAGTACTACCATACGACGGAGACAGCGCTGGACCAAGCATGAAGTACGGGGATGCGAAAGCGGGAAGACTGATATCGTCCTTTGCTTTAATGTCTCTCATCTCCTTCTCCAACACGGCGCTATTTGTAGGCTCACTATGCGCCTTCCCAATGTGGACTTGGATTTGACGATCGACGTCTTGAGTGTTGGTAGGCTGCAGAGGCTGAATTCTGTCTGGGAGCAATTTTAATGTGTCTGGACCTACGTATTTCCCCAACTTGTCCCGAACTGGTTTCCCACGAAGCACAAACTGAATAGATGACGGACCAAAGTTGGTGTCCATGGTAGAGATGCCTTGGTTCGCTGTGCGCATGCGTGTGAGGACTTCCATTCGTCTGGAAGCAGGGTTGGAGCTGTTGTTGAGAAATTCTTTACTGCAACTTGGTCGCTGACCGGGCATGTAGAAATTGTCACCGTTAGCTACCCATGCTTTCTCTGTAGGAGGGGGTGGTGGCTTAATTATTTCGCTGTGAGAACTGAACGAGTTTTCCCGAGACGGGGATACCCCTTGGATACGCAGTCTGTCTATTACTTTCGCCATCACGGGTCGTCAAATGTTTTGGAGGTTACGAAGTCAAGGGTTTCTTTAGACACACATCCTTTAAACGACCATATTCTGAAATAAACGAAATTGATTTAATTTATTATTACATGCATACAATATTAAAACTAATTTTTAAACAAATTACCACCTGATCCATGTCTGATTGGTACACTGATTCTTCTCCGGCACGTGCACAATCCGGCGACTTGAAGTACCAATTTGGTGAAGGTTGCCGAATAACGTACATTAAAGCGTACATTTGGGTTTTGTAACTTCAGAAAAACTGTATCCCCCAAAAGCAATTCATTTTTTATTCTCTCTCTATTCTCGATTTATTCGTTTCAATGTCTGTAGTTAGTTTATTGTTACACAGATATGTTAGTTGATCATAAAAGAACTGTTTAACAAAAACAGTTTCAAAACGGTAACATATAAGGTAAGTCGTGTCTGATCGCGTGAGATTTGTACAACATACACTGTCTTCACACCATGAACTGATATCTTAACGAACTCTCGTGAGATCTAGCCGAGAAGACACCCAAGCCCCAATGTCTCAATGGCGGAGTAACCAGACACGGGATCATACCGACACATTCGCCGCAGTTCATCAGACATGTTCTGTTAACCTTTGTTTCTCTAAACCTCACTCCCAACCCAACACTAACCATACATATGAGACCCCTACCTCCACTCCCCGGGCACGTTTCGGACACGCCCAACCCCACCCGCTCATAAAACAATGAAGATTACCTAATAGTCTGTTGATCAGGCTAATAGTACATAAAATAATTCATCATGTTTTCGTTAGTATGACAAAAGGTTACTCACTCTTGGAAACAGTTTACACGATTTGAAGAAAAGTAGTGTAAGCATTTAAAGAATGAATCTAATCCGTGGCCTTCAAAGTGAAATGTGTTCCTTTACAGATCCACACGACTTCAGTCCGCCTCAAGTATACCAGATAATGGTAAAGGTCAAAACCAACAAGAGTGTATGTCAAGTGAATAGTGTTTCTACTGTACATCAACACTTACCAATTTAGCACCGCTGACTTGCTAACTCTATATAACTTTCTGGTTATTTTTCACGGACAAACATGACGTCTTCTCACAGGCAACCCACCTTCCGAAAATTCTCCTTCCTTTTGCAGCTGTGACTATCGCATAATCGATGAAGTTTTGTAAGTTTTCGAAGAGGATACAGTTATTGACATATGGCCATTTTGCTCCAAGTGTTGGCAAGGTGTGCGTGGTTTGCGTGTCGAGGTAAGCTGGGATATTGAAGTATCAGCCCGAGGTCTCTAACACCACTGTGTGGAGCTAAATCATTATTCCTTCCATTGTATTTTACCAACACCGTATCGGCCTACTAATTTCATGCTGTGACGTCACTAAGTCGGTTGGCAACATACCTTATCTAACAATAGATGCTGTCTTTTTGAAAATATAATATTTTTTATTCTAATTGCTGTTAAACTACCAGCATGATATAAAACAATTTTGCAGCTATGACAAGATTGCTATGTGGTTGTTTGTTATTTAAGGTGAGTAAACAATACGAGTGTCCAGACAGACCTGTTGAATGTCTTAATTAGTTAAGGCCTCGTTTCATTTACCAAGGGGGGTAATCCATGTGTGGCCAAATTTGATATTTCTTCGCTCAGTTAAACACATGTAAAACGTGTTGTTACAATAACCACCCAGTAGACATAAAACACGTGACAAGGCTTCGTTCGTTACATGTGCCTGAATGCCGTAATGAGAAACCTGTTGAACCGACTGGTAACCAGATGAAGCGATTAGTGAGAATATCAATCGAGCGCTTAGATGAGATTTATGGAACGGAGCGCGGAAATGGCCAATGCCTTGCCATAAGACACGCAATCGACAGCGGTGTCCGTGTCCCACACCTCGTGTGTTCAGATGTCCGGCGAATTGACAAATAAACAGATTGACCAGTTCCCGGTTCATTGGACATGACATCGGAATGTGTCCACACAACTGGACCGGGCGAGCAAACAGGTGCCACAGCAGTTAAGGGACAAACAGGTGAACGCCCGTCTGTCCAATTGCCACATGGTTGAACAGGGCTTGGAGTCGGAAACAGGAATCTCGGACGTGTGCCGGGAACAGTCTATTTAATAATTCTACCTTGAAACTGTCCCGACTGCAGCAAAAGGACAAATGTCATAAGACCAGTCATGACAACACACAACTAGCGATTTGAATTCATATTTGTGCACAGTTTTCATGATTTTTTTTGGATAGGTTTGAAACCTATTTCTCAACAAAACAGTCCCTGTATAAATGTCACTCGCCACATGAACGAGCAGAGATTATGTTGCGCTTTAAGGCTGAGGAGCTAGGCAAGCTCTTTAAACCCCACTATTTTATATATTATTTATATAGTCTAACATTTAATGTCAAAGTTTCGCTCACGTCATCATTTACAACCTGCACGACCTAGACAACTGGCAGCAGACAATGGAGCATAGTACCTCTTCATATGGCTATCAGTATCCTGGTCATTAAATGATATCTGATTACTATGGCGACGTACAATGTGACAGGCGTATATATAGCCACTTGTTATGCCTCCTAAGCAAGTGTATGCGTGTATGTCTGCGGCTCTCTGTATGTACCAGCGGTCCCAGCTGGACATGTTCTAATTACTTTATTTATGTGGGTATGATCATTTGACAAATGTAGAGCCACACTCGATATATTTACACATGTAACCTCTTTTATACATCGACAAGACTCGTAATTCAGGTGTCTAGCCACTTTATATACTACTCAAAAGAAGTTAAAGAACACCCAAATAAGTTATCAAAATCACTCAAAAAATAAATCGTGGCCACAGGAACAACACTGATTGGGAAAGATAAGTATTTAATCATGACATTTCATTGACGAAAGAAACGCTGGCATACAGCTGACCAGAGCAAATCAATATGCATTGCATGTACCCTATAAATCAAAAGTCACACACTACAGTTCAGGATAATCCTGTTCCTTCAATATCGGGTAGGCCCACCCCTGGAAGCAATACAGTTCTGACATCTTCTACGCATAGATCGAACAAGCTGCCGCAGTGTTGTCTGTGGAATTGCTTGCTATTCCTGATGAAGAAATCCTAACAGTTGCTGGAGATTAACAGGAGTTGGGTGGTTAGCTTGAACGGCTCTTCCCAAGGCATCCCAAAGATGTTCAATGGGCGCCAGATCTGGCGAATAAGCAGGCCATTGCATAACGGTAATCTGCCTTTGTCTGTGATAGTCAGTGATAATCCGAGCGCGATGGGGTCTTGCATTGTCGTCCTGAAGGATAGCACCTTGACCAATCTGACGAAGTGTGGGCAATACCAGGGGTTCAAGAATCTCATCACGGTACCTGGCAGCATTCAGATTCCCGACAATATGGTACAGAGGAGTCCTATGATTCCAACTGAATCCTTCCCATACCATCACTGATCCCCCACCAAAAGCGACACGTTCACGTACTGTGGCATCAGTGAATCTCTCTCCAGTACGACGCCACACCCGTATTCTTCCATCATTGAGCTGCAAACAGAATCGCGACTCGTCTGTAAACAGTACACGAGACCATTGCTGTCTGTTCCAACGCACATGTTGTCGACACCAAGCCAGACGTGCTGTTCTGTGAACTGGACGTAAAGGTGGTCTCACTGCTTGTCGTCGACTTCTCAAGTGCGCAGCTCGTAAACGGTTTCGCACCGACTGATCACTAACGACTGTGTTATTGACAGCCCTTAACTGTAACCTGAGGTTGTTTGCTGTTGATGTACGCTGCCTGAGTGCTTGGAGAACCAGGTATCGGTCATCACGTTGTGAGGTACACCTTGGCCGTCCAGAACGATGTCGCTCTTGCACTCCGCCAGTGGCAGCAAAACGATGCCAAAGGTGTGAATGACAGAGGGAGACACCTGCAATCTTCTGCCCACTTCAGGTAAAGAAAGGCAATCCTGGAGCCAACCAATAGCTCGTCCTCTATCAACATCAGTCAGATGTCGTCTCTGTGGCATGGTTTTGGAAAGTGTGATAACACGATCATCATCATCGCCTTCTTAAAGGGAAAGCATGCACGTGCACCATGAACATCACCACTTTCATATGCTGAGCATGAAAATTGTGTTGGTTGTTGCTAAGGACAGGTGCAGCGTTGTGTTTGGGCGACAATATTCCTGTGTTTTGCTCATGTTTTCAATTCATTTGCATGACTACCAGAAGTGTTTCCAGAAAGTGTCAGGAGGATCAGCAATACCCCAGACGTGGTGCAACATGTTGCCAAACATTAGATGATAGTAATGTTATAACACATAATGCCATGACCAATTTGCTAAATCGTGTATTATATATCTGGTGTTCTTTAACTTCTTTTGAGTAGTATATATTACCCATACTCGTAATTCAAGTTTCTAGCCACTTAAAATACTCTCAAAAAAAGTAGGGGTTATTTGAAAATAACAGATGATTACTGAAAAATAAAGAGGTATCGAATAATGGTAATGGGTGGGGGAAAGTACAGAACAGTCTCCCAGTGACAATTTGAGCGAGTCTTTTCCAGTCGGCTAATGTGCAGGTGACCTTTAACGTCGGCGTACACGTCTCACGAGCAAGTCCGCGGCGTGCACTGTGGGGTTTAAGTCAGGACTGATGGCTAGCTATAGCAATCTGATGATGTTTTGCAAGTGGGGGTAGTCAGTTACGATACGCGCAAGGACAACAGTGGCGCTCTGGCAGTAACAGTGATCCCATCCCATATCATTACAGACCCACCCCAACTATTGTCACGTTGCCTTACGTTGACGTTCGCGTAGCTTTCGTCAGGAGGATGAGAGACACGTCCACGCCTATCCAGAAAGTCCAGAGTGAATATGGACTCATATGAAAACATTACACAGACCATCGGTCATTCCTCCAGTTCTACGATCTAAACACCATTGGCGTCTGGCTAGAATGTGTCGTCGGGTTACGGTGCTACAACGCGTGGTCGCTGAGCGTGCAGCATGCAAATTAGCAGCTTGCAGACGATTTTCTAGTCAGTAAATTGACGTATGCTTGTCGTAGGTGGCGACTAACCGGATCGGGTGGTTAGGCTCGATGACTTGGTTGATGCATGTCTTCGCATTTCAATTGCTTGGATCGATGCTCATGGTATCAATTACTGGACTGTCTAGTCCAGACTGATTATTTACAGACCGCCGTCATATAGCTGGAATACTGCAGTGAGTGCAACAAACAAACGTAAATAAACTCGGATTGCCTGGCGCAAATGAACAGCGATTTTGTTGGCTGTTCAGATTCGATTTCTACAAGCCTGGGTTTCTGGATTTGTTTTATTGATCTTCGGTGCCCTGTGCGGGGCCGATCATTAACATTCCGTGTCTTATGAAACCTGTTCCAAAGTCCAAACCACAGACTGAGACACGTTGAATATATTGGCGACCTCTCGCTGAGTTCTACCAGTTCGAAGCATGCCAATAGCCCTTAGGCATCCATCTTCCCGAGGCAAGAGAGTTAACTGACTATAAAAGTACAGTTTCCATCCTTGCCTAGCTAGGCTGGAATTCCAGGGCTCGATCGTAGCGCAACCAGTGGCTAATACGAGTTATGTCCCTTCTAAGCCTCTCCTATGGGCCAATCAGATTCCACCTTTCGTACCACTTGCATTTGCTTCAAACAAAATGGCGGCGCCCAGTTAAGACGATCTGATCAATAATCTAAGATCTATATTGTAATATAACGGGTCTTACATCGTGGAGTGAATCAGATCAAGTGAGCACATTGATTAAAAATATGAAACGATTTGGGAAAATATCTGTTGACAAAGAGTTGGCAGTGCACATGCTTTGCAAATCCTGCAATCGACCGAAATCTGCACAACGGTTTACGAACCGGATTTCGATTTCATTGCACGATTTTGATTGCACTGTGCATACACTCGTTAGTTCAACCAAAATGTAACTCCATAATACCAGCCTAGTTCGGCAAGGGTGGAAACTGGACTTTTAAAGTCAGTTAACGCCCTTGCCTCGGGAAGATGTAAGGCGTTAAACACGTTGAATACGACACATTTCAAATCTGATCACAAATATTGCATAAAGTAAGAGTAGAGAGCTTACACGTTACAGTGGATAATGGAAATCAACAATACAAATAGCTCAGGGCGAGTTGATGATCTATCGCTGAAGTGTCAAAATCAAGAATGACCTACCCACATGCAGTGTGTCGGATGTTGTGGTGTTAGGTTTTGTTTCCGAAACCGTTCTATCTCTTGCAGTCATTTTCAATTCTGATCTCTCTTTTAAGGACCGTTCATAACTTTTTTTATTACCTGAGCCCCTACTTGTTTGGGAGAGTACATATTACTCACCTTAAATATTATACCCTGACTCGCAATTTACGTGTATAACCACAATAAATATTTTCCAGATTCGTCATTCAAGTGTATAGCTGATTTGAATATTACCCAGAAACGTAATTCGGGTGTTCAGTAACTTGAATCATATTACCCAGACCTGTACGTAATTCAGGTGTTCAGTCACTTCATACACATTATCCCGATCTGTACGTAATTCTTGTGTTCAGTCACTTTATAAATATTACCCCGACCTGTACGTAATTCAGGTGTTCAGTCATTTTATACATATTACCCCGATCAGTACGTAATTCAGGTGTTCAGTCACTTTATACATATTACCCGCACCTGTACGTAATTCAGGTGTTCAGTCACTTTATACATATTACCCCGGCCTGTACGTAATTCAGGTGTTCAGTCACTTTATACATATTACCCAGACCTGTACGTAATTCAGGTGTTCAGTCACTTTATACATATTACCCAGACCTGTACGTAATTCAGGTGTTCAGTCACTTTGTACATATTACCCCGACCTGTACGTAATTCAGGTGTTCAGTCACTTTATACATATTTCCCCGACCTGTAAATAATTCAGGTGTTCAATCACTTTATACATATAACCCCGACCTGTACGTAATTCAGGTGTTTTCTTTCACTTTATACATATTTCCCCGACCTGTACATAATTCAGGTGTTCAGTCACTTTATACATATTTCCCCGACCTGTAAATAATTCATGTGTTCAGTCACTTTATACATATTTCTCCGACCTGTAAATAATTCATGTGTTCAGTCACTTTATACATATTTCCCCGACCTGTAAATAATTCAGGTGTTCAATCACTTTATACATATAACACAGATCTGTACGTAATTCAGGTGTTCAGTCACTTTATACATATTTCCCCGACCTGTACGTAATTCAGGTGTTCAGTCACTTTATACATATTTCCCCGATCTGTAAATAATTCAGGTGTTCAATCACTTTATACATATTACCCAGACCTGTACGTAATTCAGGTGTTTTCTTTCACTTTATATATATTACCCAGACCTGAACGTTATTCAGGTGTTCAGTCACTTTATACATATTACCCACACCTGTACGTAATTCAGGTGTTCAGTCATTTTATACATATTACCCACACCTGTACGTAATTCGGGGGTTCAGTCACTTTATACATATAACCCCGGCCAGTACGTAATTCAGGTGTTCAGTCACTTTATACATATTACCCCGGCCTGTACGTAATTCAGATGTTCAGTCATTTTATGCATATTGCCAACACCTGTACGTAATTCAGGTGTTCAGTCACTTTATGCATATTACCCCTTCTCTGTTTGTTTATATATCCCCTTATCTGTATGTTTATATATTCCCTTCTCCGAGCGTTTGTATATGCCCTTCTCTGTATGTTTTTATGTGCACTTCTCTTTATGTTTATATATTCCCTTCTCTGTGCGTGTATATTTACCCTTCTTTGTATGTTACATATGCCCTTCTCTGTTTGTTTATATATGCCCTTCGCTTTATGTTGATATATTCCCTTATCTGTATTTCTTATATGTTCTTCTCTGTATGTTTATATATGGCCTTCTCTGTATGTTTATGTATTCCTTTCTCTGTATGTTTTTATATTCCCTTCTTTGTATATTTATGTATCTCCTTCGCTGTATGTTTATATATGCCCTTCTCTGTATGTTTATATATTCCCTTCTCTGTGCGTTTATATATGCCCTTCTCTGTATGTTTATATATGCCCTTCTCTGTATGTTTATATATTCCCTTCTCTGTGCGTTTATATATGCCTTTCTCTGTGCGTTTATATATGCCCTTCTCTGTATGTTTCATTTATTCCGTTCTCTGTATGTTTATATAAGCCCTTCTCTGTATGTTTCATATATGTCCTTTGTATGTTTCATTTATTCCCTTCTCTGTATGTTTCATTTATTCCGTTCTCTGTATGTTTATATATGCCCTTCTCTGTATGTTTCATTTATTCCGTTCTCTGTATGTTTATATACGCCCTTCTCTGTATGTTTATATATTCCCTTCTCTGTGCGTTTATATGTGCCCTTCTCTGTATGTTTATATATGCCCTTCTCTGTATGTTTATATATGCCCTTCTCTGTATGTTCCATTTATTCCGTTCTCTGTATGTTTATATAAGCCCTTCTCTGTATGTTTCATATATGTCCTTCTTTGTATGTTTCATTTATTCCCTTCTCTGTATGTTTCATTAATTCCCTTCTCTGTATGTTTATATATGCCCTTCTCTGTATGTTTCATTTATTCCGTTCTCTGTATGTTTATATATGCCCTTCTCTGTATGTATGTTTCATATATGCCCTTCCCTGTATGTTTCATATAAGCCCTTCTCTGTATGTTTCATATATGCCCTTCTCTGTATGTTTCATATATGCCCTTCTATGTTTGTTTATTTATTCCCTTCTTTGTATGTTTCATATATGCCCTTCTCTGTATGTTTCATTTATTCCCTTCTCTGTATGTTTATATATGCCCTTCTCTGTATGTTTCATTTATTCCGTTCTCTGTATGTTTATATAAGCCCTTCTCTGTATGTTTCATATATGCCCTTCTCTGTATGTTTCATATAAGCCCTTCTCTGTATGTTTCATATATGTCCTTCTCTGTATTTTTCATTTATTCCCTTCTCTGTATGTTTATATATGCCCTTCTCTGTATGTTTCATATATGCCCTTCTCTGTATGTTTCATATATGCCCTTCCCTGTATGTTTCATATAAGCCCTTCTCTGTATGTTTCATATATGCCCTTCTCTGTATGTTTCATTTATTCCCTTCTTTGTATGTTTCATATATGCCCTTCTCTGTATGTTTCATTTATTCCCTTCTCAGTATGTTTCATATATGCCCTTCTCTGTATGTTTCATATATGTCCTTTTCTGTATGTTTCATTTATTCCCTTCTCTGTATGTTTATATATGCCCTTCTCTGTATGTTTCATTTATTCCGTTCTCTGTATGTTTATATATGCCCTTCTCTGTATGTTTCATTTATTCCGTTCTCTGTATGTTTATATATGCCCTTCTCTGTATGTTTCATGTATTCCCTTCTCTGTATGTTTCATATATGCCCTTCTCTGTATGTTTCATTTATTCCCTTCTCTGTATGTTTCATATATGCCCTTCTCTGTATGTTTCATTTATTCCCTTCTCTGTATGTTTCATATATGCCCTTCTCTGTATGTTTCATATATGTCCTTTTCTGTATGTTTCATTTATTCCCTTCTCTGTATGTTTGTATATGCCCTTCTCTGTATGTTTCATTTATTCCGTTCTCTGTATGTTTATATATGCCCTTCTCTGTATGTTTCATTTATTCCCTTCTCTGTATGTTTCATATATGTCCTTCTCATGCTTTGACACATGCTTTGAGGGTTTGACAATAGAAGTGTCAAACCCTCAGATAGCACTTTTCGATTTTTTTATCATCCTATTAATCACCGATAAATAAATATGTAGGCGCGAAATCGAAGCTGTGTCCTGCTCCCCTTTTTCTGTCCGACTTCCACTGGTTCTACACATGTTTCAGCGTGACGATATCGCAGCTACATATTCATCTATAAGTGATTGCTTTACAAAACAGTAAGTAAAATCAAATAAACATTAAATCAATTGTTTCAAATCAATGAACTTACATTTCAGTTTTTTTAATTAAATGGCATCTTCCATCAATCTCAGTTCGTTTTTTGTAACAATACATACTTCGTTTCAGAACTAGTTGGGAATTTATAACAACAAGGGCGGGTAACTACAATCGAGAAACGTCAAAGGAAAAGTACACGTCCAACACATAAAAATGTGAAAACTTCTATAAATAGAAGGTAACTTTGATGTGGCGTTGGTATTTGATTTAAGCATGCATGTGTATATAAAATGATTACCAAGAAGTTTGATGTCCCCTTTTTCATTTATGTGAAATGATGATTTCCCGAGGTTTCGAAGAAAAGAACCTCATTCTGTCTCTGGGCCTGATGATTAACAGGGTTTGCGACTTGCTAATTACAACGCAGGGAAACCTCTAACAATTATATGTGTAGGGGTAGTACCCAACAATTGTTGATGTCCCTGTCGTTCATCGGACAATACATAGTCATCAGACCTATAGGCTATCAGCTGAAAGACCGTTGTACCGTTCAATAGGACGGGGATAAGCTCATGACATAAGTGTATCTATTACTCATTTGGAGTATCGAAACTCCTTATTTGCTATATTTCAATTGGGAAACATATCTTATTGTTAGCGATGAGTGCAGTTGTTTCCATGCCACTCATATATATATAATCTTTACTATTAACTAACAAAATGTTTGATAACGTTATGCTACCTTAAACTACAGCACATCTTTCAGATCTATGTAGAGTTTATAACATAACAAACTGTTATGGAGACAAATTTTGCATTTTGAAATGACTTCGGTTGAAAATATCACAGTGTTCTTGACAATATAATGTAAATGGTTTTGGTTTAAAGCCACTTTAAACAGTACTCTACTGTCCCAATATGGATACTAGAGGGTCATGACCTGTGAGGAGTCATACTCATCGAAAATGACTAACCTGTACCTAATAATCCTGACCGATCAAAACGTGGTGTGGAGCATTTGTACTTCATTTGGCTGACTCATACACAAACATTTATATGATCTGTACACAAATTTAGAGAGCCTGCACACTAAGTACCCAATTATGTTCATATTTGTTGCATTTGTAACAAGTTGGTATAAAAGCAAGATGTCAAAAATGGGACTGCTTTAATCAGTATATATTTATAATAATTTATTCACAGCACTTAATTCAAATCACACAAACATCTTAACATCACCAAATGATGGCATGTATTTATTAGTAGTGGGGCAATGCATTGGCTGATCGCGATTGTTTACTTCTCGATACAAGTATCAATCGCACGCTAAGAAAAAGTATTGATTCATACCTTAAATTTATTTGTTAATTACTACTACACCAAACATGTATTTGTGCCGACACTAACATCTCAACATCACCATATATTTCTTGACTCAGCACATTTCTGGTGTTCCCCACCATCATATTGATGAAATTTTGCTAAAAACAACATGAACACATTATGTATTTGGTAGCACATATGTGCATTCCCACGCCATCTCTCATTTATCACATTTATGAAAATATTTGCTTCTTGATATAATCAGAATGTCTCATAGAATGGCCAACATTCCTCAGTTATGCCCCTTTACTACTTCGCCAATAGATGGCGCCAAACGCTACGGTCCTGCGCGTACTTCCGGTATATTACACGGTTCATAGATATTTGCACGACCAACAACTACAACGAAGTATTTACGATGCCTTCGATGCGCTGCTGTGTCCCGGGATGCTGCAATCGAGGTGGTTTGTCGTTTCCCAGAGAACCCATGTTGCTGAAATGATGGTTGATTGCTATTCGGAGGTGCGACGAATCAAACCAAGGCAAGATGTGGAAACCGTCACCTCACAGTGTTGTGTGTCATTCCCACTTCAGGCGTCTGATTTCATTGCTGTAACTAGTTATGGTAAGATATTTGGGTAACTTGTTATGTTTCTATTCGTTGGCAGATTTAATTAACGTGCATGCCAATTATATTTGTTATATTTTCTTGCATTGAAATTACGAAGAGGGTTTTACGTGACTCAGAAATGTGTATCCATTATGCAGAAATGTGAAGAATGGACGCAGTCAAAATAGAATATGTTCCGTCCCGCGGGACACACTTATTTTCACAGATAGTTTGATTTTGTCATTGAGTTAAATTGAGTAAAGATTCTTACAACTTCGAAGTGTGTGATTTTTTTCACGATAATTTGAGTTCCCTCCTGTCAGAGTAGGCAGGTAAATTGGAGTATTGGCTAATTCTAATGTAATCATGTTTGTGTGTGTTTGCATGTGAAGCTATGAGTATATTTCATTGTTTTTTAAAACCAAGATAGAAATAATGTGTCATTTTTGCCTTACTATAGTAGCCATTTTTTTGCCAGTCAGTGATGTTTAGGTTTGACCCTCATATATTTCATGCAAGGGCCTTTGAAATCAATTACTGGGGGTCTAGTGCATAACCACAAAATTAAGGTAAAACCCTGTTTACCACCATTATATTCCTGTTTATTAAGTTGTTGATGTTTGACCATAACCCTTCTTAGTTTTCTTCTTTAATTTGTTGAATTGATGTTTACCAGGAATGTCAACACATATTTGACGTTTTTGCCTTTAATGCGTCATGTTACATTTTCCTGCAGGTGCTTGTTTTCCACAGAGATGAGGCACAGATGATTCAAGAATACAGGTTCATGTTTGTTCACTTTTGATATGTATTTGTCAGAATAGTGTCATGTGTACGTGTTGAACTTGAAGACACTTCTCTGTATCAGGCATTATATGTATGTAATGTTGAGACTATATCTACGAAATTGTCAGCTAATTTATATCATAATTTTCCTTAATTTAAATGTGTATCACTATTATGTTCATAATGTTACAAAACATATCGACCCCATAGAAATTTGTTCTTTCCCTGCAAATTAACTTAAATCTAATCATAAAAAGTTATCTCACAACTGGTAGTCAAAAGATTGCACAATATCTGTTTGGAAAATAATAATCTACTGCTGTTTTCCCCAGGGTGTACACCTCTGAGGAAACAGAGAAAACCAGATGCTGTACCATCAATCTTTCCCTGGACTGATTCAGCCAACACACTTGAGGCCGATGGAGGCTTAAGGAAATCCCGCATTGAAAGACGTGAGAATAAAAAGAGGACATTTAAAGCAATGGATACAGATTGTGATATTGAATGTGACATCAGGGAGGTAGCTGGGGAGGAAATAATTGACAATGTTGAGTTTGATGACATGAATACCGACCTAAACATTTGTTCTGCAGATAGTGCAGAGGTTGAATATGAAAGTACATCAGCTCAGACAGACAAATTTCCAATGCTTTCAATACAAAGTATTATGTTTAATGCTGCAGTAATTTTGTTTTATACAGGACTGTCAAACTAAACAGACTTCACCTTTGTACTTGCAAGTTTGGGTCCGTGTGCATATCACCTAAATTATCTGTACAGCAAAGTTGACAGTATGACTATCAGTGTGGAAAATCAATTGCTTTTAACACTTATGAAACTGCGCCGACATAAGACTAACTTTGAACTTGGTCTTCATTTTGGAATTTCAGAGAAAACTGTATTAAATGTATGGATCACCTGGGTAAATTTTATGTATAGACAGTGGAGTGAGCTTGATAACTGGCCAGAATGAGACTTAGTGCACTATTTTTGTCCTTCTGATTTCAAATCCAAATTTCCATCCACACGAATTATCATTGATGGTACTGAATGCCCTATCCAGAAACCAAAACGCCCCATAGCTCAGCAGTCTACCTACTCAACGTATAAAAATCGAAATACTATCAAAATACTTGTTGGATCCACACCAGGTGGTCTTGTGTCGTATGTGTCTCCTGCGTATGGTGGCTCCACAAGTGATCGTCAAATAGTAGAGCGTAGTGGTTTGACAGTGATGTGCGACCAAGGAGATAGTATTATGACTGATAAAGGTTTCAACGTACAAGATATTTGCACCAAAAGATGTTACCATTAATATGCCAACATTCTTCTCAAAGAAAAAACGTATGTCTGGCAAGACTGTTATGCGTGATAGGAAAATATCAAGCAAAAGAGTTCACATTGAACGTATTATTGGTCTGGCAAAAACATTCAAAATACTTACTGAACCTCTTAACAGTTCAGAAACCAAATTAGCCACAGAAATAACCACGGTTTGCTTCATGCTTTGTTCTTTCAAAAAGTGCATTGTTCCCTCTACTTGCTAATCATATTGGTTAGCAAATCATTAAAAATATCTTTCATTCCAGTCGGACGTTAGTCGGTCGTAGAGTATGGAGATATGTTTCTAATTTCTTTCAACAAGGCCTGTTATTGCGTTTGCTACATGATTAAAGATAATTGTTGCTAAATATTCATGAGGATAAAGTTGAATGTAACATGTTATCGATTATGTATCATGTTGAGACTAGAATGGGAATTTGTGGTCAAAGAGCAAGTTTGAAGCAAATTTACCATTTGTGCAGCCACAAACAATCGTACTCTTTTGTCAAGGTACAAACATAAATGTGTTAGTATCAGAGCTTATGATAATATAATGCTAAACTTCCTGTTCAATGTGGTGTTAAACCCATCTCACTCACTGAATTTGTTTTAAATTTATGACATCAGTAACATGAATTTAAGAATGTTGACAGTGTTTGGTGCATACTGTTACATTTTGCGGTAATATGTCATTATTCCCTGCCACAAAGTGGGAGAGAGGTACACATTTTTTGTCCGAGCATAATTCGGAAACTGTTTCATATGTTTCCTGTTTCCATGGCAGCAATTTGGATTAAACCCAAATACTGGTTGCTTTTATTTCACGAACTTAAAATCTGAATAAGTTGAAGTGTATATTTCTGGATCATATATCCATTATTTTTACTGTTTACTGAGAAACAAATTGTAATTTTTTGTCCTAAGTTAGGAGGACCATGTGTAAATCTGTTACTTTGTGCATTGTGGCTGTAATGAGGACAAAATTCTAATGTGCCCCATGGCTGTGTATTCTTGTTTCATATGATACTGGCAGCAGCTAGACCGGTCCAGATATTTGGCACGTCTTAGTGCTGTTGCTTCAGCTCTCTCAGATGTTATGAATGGCAATTACGACAAGCAAGAAGTCAATGACAATGGGTTTTTAATCATTCCCACAAACAGTTCAGCTGCAGATAATAATCACATGACAGTTGTAA